TAACCAACACCTACCAGTCCAGCGTGGAGGGATTTATGAAATATCTGGCACTGACGCGGGAGCAGAGTGTGGCCCTGATAGAGAAGAGCGTGTACCTGACGCAACAGGCCAAGGCGCAATATCTGAAGGAGTTGCAGTCGGACGGAATCATTAAACCCCAATTCCCTTTGATATTGGCCTCGATTGGGCCATATGGTGCGCATTTGCATGACGGTTCGGAGTATTCGGGCAGCTATGCGGATAAGATCAGCAAGGAGAAGCTCCAAGACTGGCATCGCACACGAATTGAGACCTGCCTGCGGGCCGGAGTCGATGGCTTGGCCGTGGAGACGCTGCCGTGCCAGCTGGAGGCACTGGCAATCACTGAAAGCATTCTCGAGAACTATACAAATGTCAAGTTTTGGGTTTCCTTTCAGTGCAAGGTAAGTGGTGATGCTTTTGTGTATTTCATTGATTTCTCACCCTTTTGTATGCTTTCAGGACGAAACCAGTCTGGCAGATGGTGAATCTTTTTCAGAATCTGCTCTATCCGTCTGGCAAATGGTGAAGTCCCACACGGCACAGACCCGACTCCTGGGCATCGGAGTTAATTGTGTTAATCCCACGTTTGTGACGCCCCTGCTAAAATCTCTGAATTCGGCCGCAGGCACGGATCGCATTCCCCTGGTTGTCTACAGCAACCGTGGAGAAATCTACGATAGTGTACGCGGCGAATGGACGGGCACAGGAGAAGATGTGGCCAAATTTGTGCCCGAATGGATTCGGCTGGGTGCACGCATTGTGGGCGGCTGTTGCCGTGTCTATCCGGACGATGTGCTCAAGATCCGTAAGTACGTTGATAGCCTCAACATCGGCTACAGCGCAGAGCAAGCGCCACAATCGCACATTGCTTAAATTGATAGTTGGCTTTTGTTGTTAATGCGAAATGTGGTTTCATGTTACTAGACCTAGACCTATTTAGTTTGCTAAATACATATATTTTGTATACTAAGTATGTACTCGGTCGATGTTGTGCCTAATCAGCAATGTACGGAGAGTATAGACAGAAAGCGAGTGCGAATGCGAGTCCGAGACGACGACGACGACGACGACAGATTTATGGAATTTAAAGGTACACAATCGTGAATTGAATGGGTAGTACACTGGTTGTCACCCAATTCGACTATTAATAATTTAAGTATTATTTCTTTTTGACCTAATTATGTTACCTACACCAAGTATGGCTTTACTATTTCTTTACCAAACAAAATATGAATTTCAATACCTTTTCTATTTGCCAAATTTAACAAATGAAATTAATTTTTTAATCATATAAGAATTATTTGTAAACATCTCAGTTCGGATTATGTCTTATTAATACAAATGTTTAAATCATCAATGGAATGACTAAAGAAATTAAAATTGAAGAGATAATTGATAAGAGAATATTCGGAGACATTCTCTTTTGCACATTTCGGGGGCTGTGGAGTGCAACCATCCGCCAACAAATTTATAAATAAAATTCACTAAATATTCGAATCCTAAATTTATATATTGCAATTTGTGTGATCTACATGGGCGATCCTTTTGAAGTCCATCCTCAGTTCAGGGAGCTTTGAAATTGTACCGGATACGATGTGGACTCGTCAAACTGCTACGCTGCTGGTGCTCCGGGATTGCATCTGGGCCTTGGGTCGCCAGGAAGCCCACTTTCCAATTCGATAACTTGTCCATTGCCAAGAAGGTCAACACATGCAGGACAAGACCCTAAACATCCTGCGCTATGCTAGTGTAGACAACTCCATTCCCAGACGGAAACAGAAGTGTCAAGAGGCTCAAATATCTTGATCTTGTCCAGCGCTTTCTACTGGAAAATATGAAACTCTTCCATGGCATGTGCAACACCAAGTTTCACCAGGTGACACCCCAACTTCTGCCAGTTGACGCCAGCACAGTTGTTGTGTTTGATGATGACGAAGCACCTCTTTAACGGTTGTCCCCCTCCTGTTTCCGTTCGATCACGTGCTTTAATTCGTCTTCGGATGGAGACAACAAATTATCCGGGAGAAAATTTAAAGTTGAAAAGAGAATACTTTAAAATTTAGTAATTTAAATGATGACATTTAAAATTATGTGGGACTTTGTCCCACATGTTTCTGGGATATACCCTCTGGTACCCTGTAATCCACGGGCAGAGCCAACAAACAAGATGTGACTGTTCAATCCGGCACCAACTGGTGCTCGATTGTCCAAAGGTTATCGAAGAAGAGTCTCCAGGCAAGATGCCAGGCAGACCGCTTGCGGTCGTGTCCTATCTCTTGCAGAGACCACGCACTGTGACGATTTCATCAGCCTTCTTCGGGAGGAGGTGTCTACCCCGGGGATCGCGGATCGGAACGTTCTCTGGACTGTTGTCTGGCAGCTGTGGCTGTGCACCCGGTGCCGGCAGCACCTTATCAACACCAAGCACTGGCCCATCAGTCCAGTGTACTCGAAGCTCCAGACCTAGCGCATAAAGACACAAACATACACACATACATACTTGTACATGTATATGTACATATGTGTATGTTTATTATTATATTTTTTTTTGTTTTGTGTATTTTGCTATGTGTTTTATTTATTTATTATTTTTTGCTTCTGATAAGCGACAGCTGAGCCAGCGTGCGGGGCGGCAGGTGCCAGGCTATAAAAGCTTCTAGCTGTCGCTGTAACACACTTAAACGCTCGACGAACACACAGTGGAATAGATCATATCCAAACAAAAGCTTAAAACTTGATTACCGGCCAGTCACATAGAGCTAGACAGCAGCGACTTATCTAATAAAGTTGTTATTGAATTGAGACATTTACAAGATCTCCATAACTACGATTTCAAGGTGAGTGAGTGTGTGGAAAATATCACTTGAAAACAAACAGCTGCCTGCTGCCTGCTAATTTAAAGGTTAAGTTGTTTATGCACTTAGTTTCCACAAAGTTCGTTGAACTCAAAATTCTACTTGAGCGATAAGTACAGTCGACGCCGTTTATGTAACGGAAGTTTTTGTTTGATGAATTATTACGGGAGTGTGGCAACGCCTACAGACAGTTTTATGCCGTTACTACCCCATTAACCCATTTACTGTTTCACCTAGTGCTGAAGATATATGACTGGTCTTTTTGCTGCACTAAAATACATTGAGTTCTAGTCCCTGAAAACCATAAATCTTTCTGTGAATCGGTCTGCTAGGGGTATCAATCCAGCATTTTTTTTTACTAAATTGTCGCTGCTCTTAATCTTAATTGATTGACCAGGCGGTCGGCCCCTAGCAGATGTCAAGGCTCACATAACTAAGCTGCCCCGCTCACAGCTGTGTCCAGCTGCAGCTTCTGCTGATTGCAGCGACGCTTTAAGAAGGCTGAGTCTACTGGTCCCCTACTTCTTATCAGTAAAACACTTACACGAGATTAAGTATCACCACCCCTTCCCTTCCCACTGCCTTTCAGTTACATCCAAACATGGGTTTGACGCGCGTACTGGTGAAAGATGGCGGCTTTGGCACACAGATGACCGTACATGTGGGCAACTCTGTGGACGGGGATCCGTTGTGGAGTGCCCGCTTCAATGCCACTAATCCGGCAGCCATTATTAACACCCACCTGGATTTCCTGCAGAGTAAGTCAAGCCACCCACCATCGCCATTCAATTAGCAACAAGATTTCATTTTTGTAATGGCCAAAACAGATGGGGCTGATATCATATTGACGAACACTTATCAGGCCAGTGTCGAGGGTTACATGGAGTATTTGGAGCTGGACGAGGAGCAGAGCATAGAGCTGATAAGAAACACGGTTCGTCTGGCGCACATAGCCAAGGAAAAATATCTGACGGAGTGTTATCAGGCCCAGCAGACGATTCCAGAAGGTACAAACACGATGCACACTCCAGGCCCTTAATTGCTTGTGTGCTAATTTATTGTGCATTTCCCCCCTCAGGTTATCCGCTGATAATTGCCTCGATTGGACCGTTTGGCGCCCACCTTCACGATGGCTCCGAGTACACCGGCAGCTATGCCGATTATGTGCCAGCTAAGACCATCACAGACTGGCACCGCATTCGGATCGAAGCTTGTCTGGAATCGGGAGTCGATGCCCTGGCCATTGAGACGATTCCGTGCCAAATGGAGGCGGAAGCACTGGTGGAAATGCTTTGCGATGACTATCCGGACGTCAAGTTCTGGGTGGCATTCCAATGCAAGGATGAGAGCTCTCTGGCGCACGGTGAGACCTTTGCAGATGCTGCAAATGCCATCTGGGATTTGCTGGCCGAGCGTAATGCCCAGGACAAGTGCCTCGCTGTGGGCGTCAACTGTGTGCATCCCAAATTTGTGACATCTCTGTTCAAGAGCCTGAATGGCGACCGCAACGACGAAGAGCAAATTCCGCTGGTTGTTTATCCCAACAGTGGAGAGGTCTATGATGTCGTCAAGGGCTGGGAGGGAAGGGAGCATTGTGTGCCGCTCGCCAATTACGTGCCGGAGTGGGCGCAGCTGGGTGCCAAGATTATTGGCGGCTGCTGTCGCACCTACGCCAGGGATATTCGCCACATTGGCGAGGCCATTCGCAACTGGAACAAACTGAAAAAGGTCGCTTAAAGGGCGCTAGAACCTCTGGATCTCAGTAATTGTACCGATCAAAATGCATTTGAATTAGTTGTGTATATATACGTAATTAGCTATTAAGTTAGAATTATATATTTTGAATAAAAATTCAAAAAGACAAACTGTAGCGCCTTTTAAATCGGTTAATAAATCGAACTTTGATCGGTTCTGACGGTTCCATTCCATTTACTTTTTACCATTTAAACTTACATAAAAGAAAGTCATGAAAACCAGCCAGACTTGTGGAGAATCGATTGATGAATCGAATGAAATTATAATCTTAGTGCTTTGATCTCTAACTAGCGCTAATATTAATTATAATGATAATATTTCATTGATATTGCAAAATTTGAAAATGAGTACGTATATTTCGGTATACTTTTGAGGGTCATGCGGTATATTTTATCGATAAATCGGCGGTCACACTGCAAGTGACTGCAAAATTTGCGGAATTTTATTAATTAAATTGTTTAAAACAAAACGAAACTAAAACACACAATATGCTGATCAAAGTAAAGGTAAGTCTGTGCACACGGATTTCTGAATGAAGCCACTAGTGGCAGGGTGCACTTTGGAGCGTAGCGTCCATTGCTATGCGTCAGACAACAACAAAATGTGTATTTCTATGGATCCTCAATTGCAGACGCTGACCGGGAAGGAAATCGAGATCGATATTGAGCCCACAGATAAGGTGGACCGCATCAAAGAGCGTGTGGAGGAGAAGGAGGGCATACCGCCACAGCAACAGCGTCTAATCTTTTCCGGCAAACAAATGTGAGTGACCGGCAGAAAACACATTCGGTCACTAAACTCTGCTTCATTTTTCCGTACACAGGAACGATGACAAGACTGCGGCTGACTACAAAGTTCAAGGTGGTTCGGTGCTGCATTTGGTGCTGGCTCTGCGCGGAGGTCATGCCTAGTCCTCGGATATTGGTGAATCTTAGTAAATTTTGTTAAGAACTATTGCCACCTCGCAGGCGCGAGGAGAGCTTACATCTTTTTCTACAAGCCCACTCAAATAAATATGAATCGCCCATGAATCGGTATATAAATATATAAAAAATGCATTTATTCATTTGCTTGTGTGGGCAGTATCTCAATATCATCAGTACATCAGTTCAGTTCTGTTTAACAAAACGTCCGACTAGCAAGTGATTCTTTGGCGTGCACTGTTCGGGCTTGAGACGGGTGAGTATCACTCGGTAGCCCGCCTCCTCCGACTGCAGCTTGCGGTCCGTGTCCACAATGGACATGCAATGCAGACCCTGCAATGTCGTCTCCGGCTTGCAATTGGTTGTGCCCATTTCATGGGCCTGGTCCGCTGTGTGGGCTATATAGAGATAATCCTTTGTGCTTAGCACACGTTGCAAGCGTTCACTAAGCGGATAGGAAATGTGGGGCATGGGCTGCAACGATCCATAGCAGCAGGGGCAGCACACAAAGTGAGCTTTAACTCGGCGACACTGCTGCAGAACAATGTCGGTTGCCGTGCCGCAGGCGTGTAGCGAAGCTCCAATTTCGAATTTACCCACAAAATAATCAATGTTGCATTGATAGAAAACGCAGTTGCTCAGGTCCAGCTCCAGCGCTCGCTTCTGGGCTTGTGCCAGTGAGAAAGACTTGTTCTCCATCACGATAATTGTACAGAGCGGCAGCTTAAGGGCCAACAGTATGGCCAAGTGTCCCGTGCCACTGCAAAAGTCTATAATGCGATCTCCTGGCTGTGCCAGAGACACCACCGCATTGGCCATGTTCTCCAGCTGCTGTCGCTTCCTTTCCAGTCGCTCTTGTGGCAGTGCCGAGCTCTTGGCATGCGTGGGCTCGATCAGCTGCCAGTCGATGACCCGCTGGCCATAAGTGTGCTCAGAATCAGTGCTGAACTCCAGTTGCAGTTCGGAAAGCTTCGTGAGCGCCAGATCTACCTCCGTCTGACTGGTGTAGATCCGATTGCGTGGCTTGTAGCGCTTGGGATCGGCCTTGTAGAGACTAGTGGCATCGCAGTCGGGTATAGCCAGGAGCTCCTCGCACTCCAACACGGACTGAGGCACATATAGATCGGCAAAGATCTTGGCACAAGTTCCGTCAAAGGAGTCAATCTAAAAAGTTCACAAATGACAAAACAGTTGGTTAATAATCCACTCCCAAGGGCTACTTTCACAAACCTCACTAAACCACGTGCTAGTCAGTGGAAAATGTGGCAACATTTGGCCACAGTGCTGGAAGACTATTCGTAGCAGGGGATACAAAATGAGATCAGCTATGGTGAAGCTAATGCCCTCGGCAAAGCGATGCTCAATCAGCAGCTGCTCCTTGGGCGTACGTCCATCGATCTGAACACGATGTTTCCGCTTGATCTTGGCCCCGTTCTCCGTTTGGTTGGCCTGCTCTCTGGCCTGCTTGTAGATATTGTGCATGCGCACGGGCTGATTCATGTGCTGCTCAAATCGTACCACTTCTTCGGGAACAGCCTCCAACAGAAGGCCATCATGCAGACGGGCCACAACGTCCACGACATCCACCTCGCAAAATCGGGTCCAGATCGAGGCTTCCGAAGGAGCCAGAAGGCAGCTCTCCTTGAAGCCCAGTAGTTTGCGCAGTTCGGTGTTTGGCTGTCGGGCAATTAGCTCCCTGCAAACTGCACAGGTCCCAGCTATGAAGGTGTTTCCATCCTTCTCATAAATGGGCAGCCGGAGATCCCGAATAGCTGGCAGCTTGGCCGCCTCTCTGCATGTTATACGCGTGTCGGTGAGCTCGCGTCGCAGCTGGGAACTGCGTAAAGCTATCTTACCACTCTGTATTTTAGTGGCCACAAAATTAACTTGGATATTCTTGGGATTGAGATAGCGATATGTGTATAGGGCTAAGAATGAAGACACGCTGGTGTAAATCGTTGTTTCGGCGTTCTGAGTGCTTATCTCAATTTCTAGGTACAGCTGATCCATAGTTTAATTAACTAATCATTTAAATAATTGAGAAAATAAAAAAAAACGGAACAGAACAGAAAAATCAAATCAGCTGGGGGGCAAAAAAAGACCATTCGATGGCGCTCTCGATATCGGTTTTGCAGCCCTACCAGCAAGCACATGAAGACGGCAGATTCGATACTTGCCAGTAGAGATGCCACTTACATTTAAAGCTGAATTTGTTTCAAAAATAGCTAAACACTTCAGCTATTTGCCAAATTGTACAGGTATTTATAGCTAAAAGTTCTAAATATAACCTGAAATAAGCTAAAATGGCAGCACGGATTCACAGGTCAACGTGTTCGTGCATTGCTTTGAGTTTTTGAATGTGTTTGTTCGTTTTTAGTTGTTGTTGTTTTAAAGTCCCAATATATTGCTAGTAAGTTTTATCGCCTTGCTAATTAGTTAAAGCCGCTGGAAAACAATGCAGCATGTGATACTCGAATCTATAGGCCTTAAATGCAAGCCACCCGCCTGCAACGCTTTACAATTTCAAATTTAGTTGACCAGCGGCTCGAGCGGGAGACAGGTGTCGTCGTCGTCTGAGCGTTTATAGGCCAGCCCGTAATATTAGTATTAGTTATTTTGTATGTGTTTGATTAACAGTCAGCTGTGCATATTTACATTCATCATTTCTTTGTATATGGACTGTGTGTGTTTGCATATTTGGTTTTTAATTACTCCCAATGTTTGTGTGTGTGTGTGTGTGTGTGTATTTGCGCGCCATCGCATGAGCAAGTAAACCGTAATTGAGTCAAGGCCGTTTATCCACTCCATTTGGACTGTAAAATAATTATCAAAATTCAATTACATTGGCTGTGAGTCATAGTTTTTCGAATTACATTTTCGGAAAACAGTGAATCAGCATCTTACCTGTGATTTTCGTTCCCAGTTACTTTGATCTTTAGTCATAGCACAAAATTACAACTGTGGAGTACTTAAAATTCGCTGATGGAATGTTTTACCCCAAGATTTATTGCCCTCATTGATATGGGACTTATGTGCCTTAGTAGCTCTGTTAGTTTTACTAATCTAACGTTATCTGAAGTCCATCTATCAGATTTATCAGTCTATAATTGATATGCCTCAAGTTTTTTTGGTTGTGGCGTTAACTGAATTTAATAGAAAGCGATCACGACTTGAAGTTTGTTTTTTTGGCCTGGTTGCGAAACGGCAGCGCAGATACGATGATAAGGCCCCCCACCCCACCTGAGACCAGTGCACTGGGCAAACAGACATCCATCTAGTGGTGCCGCAATCAAAGAGTAAACAGGGGGAGAAGGCTTTAAGAAATTGAGCAAATAACCAAATTAACGCTGGCACCCAGGCAGGGCGGCACAGCAAACACACACACCCGTCCACTGACAAGCCAGAATCAGAGACACACACAGAGATACACACACACTTGCGCAAGTCTAGCTAAAAAGATATGAAGAAGACGCTGCTGCTGTTGCTTCTGCTGCTGCGGCAACGAACTCGTTCCAATTGAAACGAAACTGAAACCTCCAACACACATCTCTCATTCCGCTCTGGAACGCGCAATCGAATACATTTTCGTATTCGTTTTGGTTTACTCTGATCCGTAATTGTTTTCTTTTTTTGTTTTTGCGTCTCCGATAAAGCAAGCAGCAAGCAGCACCCCGCCACCCAGAATGGAGCAGTGGAACAATGTGGAGCTGACGAACATGTCCAAAAAGTCGTACACACTGAATCATGCCTATAATATGGCCGAAAAGCTCAACAACGAGAATGCTACTGTGTCCTCCAATGGCAATGGCAGCGACAGTGAACCAGCAAAAGAGCAAACAGAGAGCTTGCTCCTCAAGCCAGGCTCGGATGTGAAGCCCAAAGTGGATCCGGACGATGTGGAGAACCTCCTGCGACGACTCTATGGCATTACAGTGAGCGAAGTGAAGGAGATTCTGGCCTACGATGATCGTAACTTTTTGATCCATGAAGATAGGTAAGCTCCTAATGTCGCGGTAGTTACATGTATATGGAAAAAAACGGCTTAAATCAAGTCTAATGAGGAAAAACACACACAAGCCTATCAATCATTCTTTTGCCGACTTAAGTATAAATATGGCACATGTGGAGGAGAGGTTTTTGCCATAGCAGTAGCCGCAGCTCGACTGATAAATGTTTACACTGGAGAGAGATTCAGGTCAAGGGGGGTCGCCGTCGCGTCATTCAGTGTGCAGGGGGGGATTGGGCTGCCATGGCTGTAGCCATCTATTTATAACCATTTAATTAAAGTTGTTAGGTGCGGCAGTTGACTGTGACGCAGTACCTCCAACAGCACACTTGCTCGCCAGCAGCATCCCATACCCATTGTTATCTTGATGGATGCTGTTGTCGCCGCTTCTTCGCTTTAATAAATTAGATTAGCTTACAAAACTACACAAGTGCAGAAAGGTGAACCGTCATTTAAGAACAGGCCTCTTCTGAAACCCGAACATGCTCAGTTTGGGTTGATTGGGACTCGAGGAGGAAAATTTGTTTTTCGACTTGGATAAAGGCTTCTTGGCAGTTGTGTTGGCGGGCTTGGAGAGGCCCACACGTCGTTTGTTGGACACAAAGAAATTGTTGGATTGAACGCTGGCATCTTCCTGGCTGCCAGGAAGCGTTGCCTCCGAGCTGCAGCTGTCATCAGACAGCAGATTGATGGTGTCCGAAGCGGCAGGCTCACTCTTTAGTATTTCCAAGGATTTGACACTTGCTTCATTGCTGGAAGCATTCAGTGGTGGCTTTTCATTCTCTTCGGAGAGCACGACGTCTGTAGGGTCAGTAAATGCATTCGTTTTCGTTTCCAGTCTTAATTTCTTGTTGGAGCCACTTGATCCCAACTCCTCTTCCTTTTTCGGCTGCTGGCCCAGCATTGTCTCCTCCGCTTGTGTGGCAAAAAAGCGACTGCGCACCTCCACCTGCTGCTCCTTGGCAAAGATGCTTCGCTTGAGGGAATTAACACGCGTCTCCTCAGCTCCTCCACCCACAGGACTGCACTTCTTAGGGCTCAGCAGACGCAGCAGAGAACTATTCTCACACACCACTGGGGATCGCAGCAGTGGATCCTTGGCAAACGGATTGTGACGACTTCTCGTTTGTACCGGCGATGGCGGCGGTGTGCGCTCTCTATCCGTGGAGTCACTTCTTCTCCGCTTCGTTTTGGAGCTGTACATGGAGAAGACCTGCGCTTCCGTTTGCTTTGCCTGCTCCAGTCGCTCATTGGCCTGGATTTCCTCGTCTATCGTTTGGCCAACAAAATCCACTTTTTTGAAGAACAAAGCACAAGAAGATTTCACCTTTTCCGGCTGTTCATTGACCGAATGTTGTCCATTTGTTAGCCAAATACTTTTGTGCTTTGATCTTTTGGTATTTTTCGGAGCAGCAGGAAGCGCTATGCCGGGCTCCCAGCTATCCAGTTTTTTGAGCGAAAAGGGATTTAAGTTCCCCAGAGCTAAATGCAGTGCCAGGTGGCTATCTTCCAGCAAAGTGCCAGCATTGCTGCAGTAGCTTACATCTGTCGAGTACTCCTCCAGGGCACACAGTCGCTCCATGCGACGCTGCAGAGGATTGTAGATGAACATGTGCTTGAAGGTGGCCTCCGCTTTCATAAAGTTCTCAATGTAGTCATCATCCACCTGGGAAAGACAGTCGCAATATTACTCATTTCTAATGAAATTCCCTAGCATCTCTGACTCACCTCCAATTTGCTCATATTGAGGTAGCTTGGTATCTTCTTCAATGCTATCCGCATGTCGTCTTGTTCCGTTTTCAGCATGAACTTGCAGGCCTTGGCCAGACCAATGCCCGGCAATGAGTCCAGATAATCACAGCCCGATAGTATGCACATGCGTCGAAACTTGTCGAATTGATACTGCTCCTGCCGGCAGCCCATTGCCAGATAGAGCTTGTCCGCCTCCACCAGCAGACCTTTGCCATTTAGGTCCAGCTTGAAGATGACCTTCTTTGCGCCAAACAACGTCAAGTCCGAGTCCTCGGTGATGATGTACTGTGCAATGTCGGCCTTGTTGAGCCAGGCCATCTGGGCATCCGCCTCGTAGGGCGCCACAATGCAGTCCACATTGCGATTTCGGCACTCGCGTATCAGCCTGAGGGCCATCTCGTGGGTGACATCCACACAGCGACGCATTTGGGAGCGCGCCTCCTCCACACGGCCCAGGCGCAGCAGTTCTGCCGCCCGTTGCTTGCTCTGCTGTCGCGACTCCCGTCGCCGCTTCTCGGTCAAAGCCTTTGCCGGCAAGTGCTGACCATCGAAGACCAGTATCGGTTTGATGTCATACGAGAGCAGCATCTGTATGTACTTCAGACAGTACTGCACGTACTGATCACAGTCCTCGCCGCGGGCCAGCTTCTCCGCGCAACTAAAAACACCTTTGTGGAGCCAGCAATAAGTGTCCACCGCGACGGTACTGCCGCGTATGTCCTTCAGTTGCAGTTTCGACGATGCCTTCTCCAGAAATGGTATCAGGCCGGTTATACCCATGGTGGAGCATGCAGGTGGTCAATTAACAAAGATTAACAAAGAAAACGCAATTAACAAAAACTAAATCACAACACAACACACAGAGCGGCGCGAACTTATCGATAACCCGTGTGACCCCAAGAAATATACCGCAATATTCCTTCTTATTATCAAAACATTACATTGACACAGAGAATTAGTCTACCGCCAAAATGTGCGTTGGTGTTGCATAACTGCAAAATACTGATTTGCCATTCACACGAATTATACTGTCATCTCTTTCCAACACTCTACCAGGGACACAATCACAATTGACGAAATTATTTGTATTTAATTAAATTTACAACGGCTTTTTTTCCTTTCAGCAATGTGAAGAATCCTCTGATTGTGTCCCATTGTCCCCATGGCTATGTCCTGAAGATAATGAACTCGTTGGACTCTAAGAACGAAAAAATTGTGGATGCACAGAATCAAGTGATGCTTTATTTATGTAAATACTTATTAACTTTACTCTTATATTTATTCAGCTGAACTCAATAATCTTACTTTTTTTATGCAGCTAAACAACAAATAAAGTGTCCCCGTCCAATTGCTAATGCCAGCGGAAAGTATTACTCGGTGGAAAAGCTAAATGGCACAGCCCATGTGGTGCGCCTCTTGGAGTTTGTTCCTGGCCAAATATTCCGTGAAGTTCCAATCACAAATTGCCTTTTGTTCCAAAGCGGCGAATATTTGGCGAAATTGGACCGAGCTCTCAAGGACTTTTCCCACGAAGCGTATGAAAACCACACGACAACATGGTTGCTGCAGAATGTACCGCGCGTAAGGGAGTTTCTATTCGCCGTCAAGGATAAGGAGCGCAAGGAATTGTGTGAGGAGGTGATCGATGCCTTCGAGTCGAAGGTATTGAGTGTGGTGTCCACCCTGGAGCATCAGATCATCCACGGCGACTTCAATGAGTCGAATATTGTGGTTGAATCGGCAACAAACCAGACGGACCACAACATCAAGGGCGTGATTGACTTTGGGGACACGAGCAAGTCGCCGCTTCTCTTCGAAGTTGGCATTGCCTTGACCTACATGATGCTAGAGGCGAAAGATCTGGGTAGCGGTGGTGTCTTCCTGGCCGGTTTTGCTAGCATAAAGCCCATCAGTATCACAGAGCTGGGGTATTTGAAGTATTGTGTGGCTGCTCGTCTCGTCCAGAGCCTGGTGTTGGGCCTGTATACGCACAGCTTACATCCCACCAATGATTACCTTCTGTCCACCCAACAAGCCGGCTGGCAGCTGCTCGAGAAACTCTGGAGGGAGAGTTTCGACTCTGTAGACGAACTGTGGTCGACAGCCGGCCATCAGTACTTGACGCAAAGCAATAAATAAATTAAATAGAGAATATAAATTGTCAATTAAATATTACTTTTATCCGATATATTATTATCATAATCTTTACAATAAAACTTGTTAAACAAATACAAATACATTGTATGTAGTTATTTATTGCTTAAATGTTAGGTGTTTCGTTTGTTATTTTGGGTTCTCTAGAGTGGGGATGGCAATTGCATGTTTCCAATCGATTTTCATTATTAAATTGAACTAATTAACGCTAATTACATTTGGATCCGATCATCGTTCGTATTCGTGTAAAAATATGTTTGAACAAAGTTCTTCCTGCCAATATACAATTTGTTCTCCCTACCCAGCGACTAACTAACTACCTCTTCCGTTGCTGAACCATCTACTTAAGGCTATAATTACACATAATCTCCTCGCTTAACACCTATTTGAAATGTACAAAAAGAGAGTGCAGTGCAGTGCCCTCGCCGATGAGAGCACTGCCTGGGGATCTATCTGCGTTGCACAAGTTGTAGGCATGATGGATGGCTCTCCTCTTATCTCGTTGCCACAAAAGCAAACTCAAACAGAAGTCGTCTTGAACAAATGGTATATATGGTGGGGTGACTGTTACTTGTTGTTTAGACATGCTTTTTTTACAGCTTGCAAATCAAGATTTATTTGTTTTTTATATATTTTTTTATTTATTTTAGGTGTTTTTGTTTTTTTTTTTGCCATTAAAAAGAATTTAATAAAGTAAAAAACAATACGTACATACTTCACACAATTTGTACACATTCAAAAAAAATAATAATAAAAAAAAAAAAATTGTGGTATTCATTAATAATAATTTTATCAGATATACCTGAGTAGAAAAAAAAACGTGTTTCAACACACACACTCGCACACAACATATTAAACAACATAAATACAGGGTTTAAAAAAAAAAATTCAATTATGGTCTAAAAAAAAAAGGTGTTTAAAATTAAAAGTCTACAAATTTCATTTTTCTTTCAGTTACTATCTAGGATAAAAATTGTTTTTTAAACTACAAAAAGTCTAAATATTTCATTTTGCTTTTATGCCAAAATTAGAGACCAGAACATGTCCTTGCTGTGGGTTTTCCACTTGCGAAAAATCTGGATAAGCTGAGATGTTGGAACCCGATCAAACTAATTAAATAATTAATGGGATTAACCAATTATGATGCGCGTAAGTGTTAACATAATAATGTATTGTATAGGATTACGTTGTGAGGGCGCAGACAAACAATCTAGCGGGGAAACTCTTTAGAGTTCCATATGGCATCGATTGCAGGGCCAGTAACTAAAATCTATTTTCAGTAGCTTAAATAAGATTTAAAAATAGAAAAAAAAATATTTTAAAGGAATAATAATAATAATTAATGTGTTTTACATAGGCAACGTCATTTTGGATCATGAAGCCCACCATGATCCACCTTTGGCACGCCACAACTACTACTACTCATCAACTCCAGAAGGGTCCTCTGGCCGGCTAACGTTTTCTCTGTCGCTTGCGCCGCTTGAGGAACACATACGAGGAATTCATCTCCTGGTGCCTGGCTTCGGCTGCGGTGAGGGGTATCTTTTTGCTAGCTAACGTGGCCACCGGCACTGCCTCAGCCTTCGCCCGGGCAATGGCCGTCAGCGCTTTGACCGAGTCCAACCATGGCAGGCTGAAATCCGACCTCGCCTCCATGTTGACAACATTCTCACCGAAAGCTTGCACAGGGATTTCCGTGACAATTTCCACGCCTTCAATGTCCTCGGGCAGGGGGTAGAACGTGGACGTGGGCAGCGGATCGAGTTGGACCAACACCTCATCCTGATTGTGTCGCTGCCGCAAGGCTTCGCTCTTCATCTGCTCCCGCATGTAGCGCGCATCGCGACGCTTCCTTTCGATCTCGTCCTTTACATACTTTTCGTGACGCTTCTCAAAGGCTTCGTCCGACACGTCTTCGATGTCCTTGTCGTCGGCGCTGTACGGTATGGGCGTATCCCGCCATTTGGGTATCTCCAGACTGGGATGATCCGACAGCAATTCATCAGCCTCCTCATCGAAGAACTCGTTATCGCGATGGAACTCCTGATCCTCCCAGGAGCGTGTCGTATACGGAAACAGGACAGTGCGATATCTGGATGTGGATTTGTGAGCATAGTTCTGGATTATCGTTCGGGCTGTGCTGGTGCTGGAAGTGGTGCTGCTGCTGCTGTTGCTGCTCATCGACACAGGTGTCAGTGGTGCAGCAATGATTATGGCCGATTTATCCTTGTCCTTATCCTCTGACTTGGATTGTGTTTCTGCGGGTGGTTCTAATATCAGATTTGTGCCCGTGGGCGGTGGCGTCGATGACGGTGTCTGTGGTGGCGTCGTTTCAGAGGCTGGTGGTGGGGTCGTCGACGTTGACGTTGATGTGGAAGTGGATGAATGCGCTATCGGGGGATAGATTAAACTCGTGCTGGCACTATTATCCTTGGGAGGTTTTTTGAGTAACACCAGCGGCTGTTGACTCTGTCGCCGTTGCTCCTTCTTCAAATGTTCCTGCAGCTTGCGACGCATTTCCTCCTCTAAACGGGCCACCTCCTTCTCCTTGTCCGTTTGCGGTTTGCTGTTGCTCATTAAGGAGGAATGGAATTTCATGTCATTAGAGATTCCATGCTGCTTGAGCTTCACCTGCAAAAGTTTTGGTTTCTTCTGCGGTGGTGCATCCGCTTCACGCATCTCTGACTTGTCGTGAATCTCTTCTATGAGGTTGTAGGGGCGTTTCTTCGGCGACGAGTGATGATGATTCGCCACTGCATGGATCTTCCTGTCGTGATGTCTGTGTTCGCTCTTTGAGGGGCTCTTGCTCTTACTCTTCTTCCGCTTCTTCTTTTTCCTTTTGTGCTCTGATTCCGTGGATTTTACTCTGTTCAGAGGTTCAAATCGAATGGATAGATCGGGTGGTGTTATGCCACTGAGGAAATCATTCCCTGCCTTGTAGTATAACATAACTTCCTCGCTCATGTTGAGAATCGCCTCCGTTTTGATTTCAGATTTGTCTGCTCCTGGTTCGGAGGCCTTGGCCTTCGGTAGAGCTGCCATTGGCGCGGGAGCTGCAGCTTGTGTAGGCGAAGCTACCCCAACTGTTGCTGTCTGACTCGTAGCTGCTGCTGCTTTCTTTGAAGGCGACACAACAGCAGAGTTAGCCTTTTGGATAGCCTCCAGCAGAGATTTTTCCTTTGGTATAGCTGCCGATGCCACAGCAGACTTCTCCTTGGTTTGGGTGGTTGCTGCCACAACAGTCTGGGTCTTTGTCTTGGGCAGACAAAGCGTACCCGCTGCCACAATAGTGGACTTTTCCTTGTTAAAAGCCGTCACAGCCGTGGAGTTTGCCTTGGCAGTGCTAGCACCAACACGAGCATGCCCCGCTGACGACTTGAGAATCAACTTTGTCGCCTCATTTACTCTTTCCACCTTCTTTTCGAATGGCTCTTCCTTAGATTTTGGACGTTTATGCTTGGCGTCTATTGCAGCGGAGTTTGACTTTCGCGTATGTTCCTCGACAGCAGATCTATCCTTGGTAACAGACTTTTCCTTCTCTAAGATAGCAGACTTTTCCTTGGTCATACCGGCAACAAGCGAATAGTTTGCCTTGGGTAGAGCAACATCCACAATTGGGGATAGTTCCTTTTCCTTTGTTGGAGCTGCCACGACCGTTGAATTTGCTTTTGGTGGAGGTATTTCTGAAACGGCAGAGTTTGTGTTGATTGGAGATGCTTGTGCAACTATCGACACCTCCTTAGACGCTTCCTTTCCTTGCTCCTTTTCCCTGCTCAAAACTGCTTCGACAGTGGAATTTGCCTTCTGTGGAGCTACTACAACAGGCTTTTCCTTGGACGCTGCGACAGCCGATTTCTCCTTTGATAGGGCCGATGCTACAGTGGACTTTTCCATAAGCAGAGCTCCTACAGAAACACACGTTTCCTTAGGTACAGGCGCTTCGATAGAAGATTTTTTCTTCGGTAGAGTCTCTGCATCAACATTGGACTTCTTTCTCGGTACAGTCTCTGCCTCAACATTGGACTTCTTTCTCGGTACAGTCTCTGCCTCAACATTGGACTTCTTCCTCGGTACAAGGTCTGCTTCAACATGTGACTTCTTCCTCGACACAAGCTCTGCTTCAACATTGGACTTCTTCCTCGGTACAGTATCTGCATCAACACTGGACTTCTTCCTTGGTACAGTTGTTACTTCAACATTGGACTTCTTCCTCGGTACAAGCTCTGCTTCAACAATGGACTTCTTCCTCGGTACAGTCTCAGCCTCAACACTGGACTTCTTTCTCGGTACAGTCTCTGCTTCAACAGTGGATTTTATACTCGGTACAGCCGCTGCTTCAACAGTAGACTTCTTCCAGGGTACAGTCTCCTCAACAGTGGATAAAGTTGCATCTGATGCAGAGGGCATTTCCGTGGGTTGAGTTGCTGCCTCAGAGAACCGTTCCCTATGTACAGTTGCTACCACTGTCATCTTTTTCATTGGTACAACCGTTGCTGTGGCAACCGACTCTTCCTTGACAGGAGTTGGTTCTACCACAGACTCTTCCTTGGTTGGTACAGGCTCTACAACAGCCTCATACTTGGTTGGAGCTCCAACGAGAACAGAGTTCGTCTTGTGTTCAGCTTCCACGAGAACAGAGTTTGCCTTGGTCAGCGTAGGAGCAGCAACAGCAACAGGATCGAGTGCGGTAGCAGGAACTGGAGCTGGAGTACTGGTATCACATACTTTGGGCAGCATATGCTTGCTGATTGTCGTGGTTGTCACCTCCTCTGTTTTGATTTCAAATTCCATTCCAGCTTGCTCCACCACGGTCTCCTCCGTGTGCACTTCCACAGTCTGAACCTCCATTGTTTCCATGCCGACTCCAGCCTCCATTTCTACAGTCTCTAATTCCACGGTCTCGGTCTCCACTTCCAAAGACTCCACCTCGACCGTCTGTACTTCCACAGAATCCTGTTCCAAGGGTTCGGCAATGACGAGTTTCGGCTGCTGGCTGTCCTCCTCTTCCACTTCCAGCATCTGATGCGTCTCTGTATCCTTGTGTGAATAAAGATCCGTTTTTAGCTGATTATTGGGTGTAGAATGGGCTGATGGTGCTATGCTCTTATGCTCCGGACTATCCATGGCGTGTATCTGAAGTAAAGAATTTGAATCCGTGAATCTGTAACCAAGCATGGAATATGCCAAAAGACTTACCTGATGATTGGCCGTCTTCCAGAGACTGTCACCATCTCCATTGGGAGGCAAGGCATCTAAATTGTTAACATTTGTTTTCGAGGGCAGCTCATGGTCCTCCTCCTCCTCCTCTTCAGTGTCCTCGCTATCCTCGTTATCATCGTCTTCATCTTCACTCCCGCTCTCGCTCTCCTCGTCGCTGTCTTTATCTTCATCGTCTTCGTCGCTTTCATCATCATCATCATCCTCCTCCTCCTCCTGCTGCTGCTGTTCGTCGTCGAAACATTCTTGATCCTCTAAATGACCATTGTAGACTGTGGTCTGAACAATCTCCTCCACCGTTTCCACGCCCATCTCCTCCTCGGCGCCAAGAATTATCATTCCATCCGGCTGCTGCAGTTCATTATGGAAAATGTTGTCTTCTTGGGCAAGAACCACCTCCTCCATTTGGTCCAGTTGATCCATTACCACCTCTTCCGTTTCAATGATCTGCTGCTCAGTTTCGATCTCCTGCTGCAGATACATTTGCCCATCCTCCGTTTCAATCTCCTGCTGCAGTGACTCCACCTGCTGTATGTCCATCTCCTCCTGCGTATCAATCACCTGCTGCTGTTTCACCCTCTCCTCCTCTTCCGTTTCGATCACCTGCTGCTGTTCAACCTCCACTGGCAAAGGTTTCTCCACCTCCACCTCCGGCTCTTTTTGTGTTTCAATGTGATGTTGTGCAGAGGATGTGAGGCTAGAGTCCTGGTTAACTCGATGCAGGAACATGGTGCTGACCTTCTTGCCATTGTACTCTCCTCTCGCTTTGCTCTCCACGGGCGCGGGAGTGCTGATTGGTGGCAACAGGGGCAGATTTATGACAGAAGTAACCAGCGTCGTTTTGGAGGTGCTTTTGTGCGGCGACTGAGGTTGGACTGATGGATGATGCTGCTGGTGCTGTGGCAGACGATCACGTGACGTTTGATTTTCCTCCTCTTCCTGCTGCTGATGCTCTCTCAATGGCCTGTGCTGTTCATCCCTCATGGGACAAGGCTGCTGCTGTTGCTCCTCTCTTATAAGTCTGGGCTGCTGTTGCTCCTGCCTTATAAGTCTGGGCTGCTGCTGCTGGTCTCTTGCCAGCATAGACTGCTGCTGCAGATCCTTCGAAAGCCTGCTCTGTAGTTCCTCCCTTACAAGCTCCTCTCTCATAAGACGATGCTGCGGCTGTGGCTCGAGCCTCACAGAACGTGGCTGTCGCTCCTCAATTGCTTGAGTGGGTTGCTGAGGCTCCACTCTTATAGGATGCGACTGCTGCTGCTGTTGGTGCTGCTGCTCCACTCTTATTATAGTGGGCTGCAGCTGCTGGTGCACTCTCAGGCGGGGCCTACGACGGGTCTCCTCTCTTACCAGCCTGGGTTGGCTTTCCGCCTGCTGTTGGTAGGGATAAGGCAGCTCTGCCTGTGGCAGATGATGTGCCGCCGCCGCTGCCAACTCCAACTCCGTTTGTGTCTCCGCATTGCAGATAATTTTCTCCTGCATGGCAGGTGGCAGTGGATGATCATCATCGTCATTGTTATCGTCGTCGCCAGGGTCACCCCTCTTGTTCTTTCTTCTTAGCTGCTTTCGCAGCTCCTCGATGGTGGCCTCCAGATGGACATTGACCAGCTTCAGGTCTTGGTTCTGCGAGAGTACAGTGTTCAGCTTGTCCGTTTGATCGTCCAGTTCCTTCTCCTTGGCCGCCAGGCTGTCCGTCTGCTCCTGCATCAGATTCAGATGGAGCACAATCATGCGCTTCAAATTGTTGTTCTCCACGATGAGGGTGACGACATCGGAGCCCGAGGAGTTGACCGAGGCGGGCGGCGCCATGGCGCCACCACCCCCCCTGGGCATAGATGGCTCTGTTGATGTCTCTGGCGGTGGTGGCTTGTAGTAGCTACTGCCCTTGTTGATAGGCTTCTGATAGTTATGTTGCTTCTGATAGCCATGTTGCGGGCGCAAATAATTTTGGTTTTTCTGATGTTTTTTGTGGTAGTAGTCTCTATCACCGCCGCCCCCACCGCCAGGACCACCACCGCCTCCAATACCACCACCGATGCCGCCACGCGACTGATGATGGTAGGGTGGATCCGAGTAGTTGGCCTTCTGCTTTGGCCATTTGAATCGCTTGTCCATTTCGAGTGTGTGGCTGCTGCTGCTCGGAAATTCTATCCGAATTTCATAGTTTGGTTTTGGGTTTTTGTTTTGTTTGTGTTTCTCGTCGCGCCACACCACGCCACACCGCGACAGCGCCGCAGCTGATACAGCAGAATGCGTAAATCTCAATTTCCACCACACTTAATTTTTTTTGCGTTCTCTCTGTCCTATCACATCGCCTTTTCCCAGAAAAACGTATTTGGCGTTAGTTTTGATGTATTTTTAGTTGCCGCAATATTGCACGGGGTGACACCATTTAGCTGGTTAGTTTGGTTACTTGTTTTTGTCTCCTTTACATGTTCTTCTCGCGTTTTTCACAATTATTTTGTAAATTTATCAAACTTCGCCCGAAAAATGCTGTGGAAGTATGGCGTTTGCGCGGTGTTGCCAGGCCAGCGCAAAGGCAGGGTTGCTGGACATTGCCACGCTGCCAACTGGCCGAAAGAAAACACCGGGAAAGTGGATTTTCAGCTTTAAAACGCCCTTAAAGTTGGTTAATTAATTATTTATACTATTGATTGGTATTTTAACAGGGCACACAAGTAGTTATGTAATGCAAATCGAAGAAGAAAATGCTTGTGGGTTTGTCGAAAAGGTGGCAGCTCTGGTTCCGTTGTCAGCGCAGGATGTGAATGGCACTGGAGAAGAAACAGAAATTGGCGGCAAATAGTTGTTGGTTTTTTTGTTGCTGAAAGTTGTTGCATTCCCGAGTCCTTGCTGTTCCGAGCCCTTGCGGCATACCGGCACTGTCCATGGCTTCGCTATTCGGGGACGATGGGGTTGACGACTTGTTCAATGACAACGTGTGCGCGGACAACGACCAATTGCCCAGTGATGGCGAGGGCGAGAAACTTTTTGCCGACGAGGATGAGAACAATGAAAATGCAGATGGAAATCCGGAGGGTGCTGGCGTCAAAGTGGAGCCCAAGAAGCGTGCGGTGCGTAACCCAAGGCCGCGTCTCACAGTGGACACGCTGCGTGGCCCACGCGGCATACACACTATCGAAAATTACTTCAAGGATGTCAAACTGAAGGGCAGGGGCCATGAGAAGACCGATCTGGACGAGGTGTTGCGGCGCCTGCAGCACTGGGGTCATCGCATGTACCCCACCTATACATTCGATGATGTGCTCAACAACATAGAGCGGCTGGGCAAGAAGAAGCCCCTGCAGGTGCACATGACTCGCTATCGTCTGGGGCAACTGGAGGATTTGCGCCTGCAGGAAGCGGACGCCGTAGACGATGGACCGGACGAGCAGAACGATGGTGCTGCCGATGAGCCCTTTGACGAGTTCGATGCCCTGCTGGGCGAACAGATAGCCATGTCCAAGCTGGCACCACGCACCCCAGCATCCACGTATCAGAAAGCCAAGTTGTCCAGCACAATGGCAAGCACAAGCAGTACTCTGGTGACGCCATCCTTCTCCCGCCATGCAGTTGTATCCACACCGTACTCGGTGGTGAATGGACCCAGCTTTGATAAAGACGGTGCTCCTGTGGATTCTCACGATATGAGTGACTATGGCCAGCCCTTGCCGCCGACACAGCCATCAACGCCAGCGGCCAAGAAGCTCTCCGCGGATCAAATGGCGCGCATAGCCGAGAATCGTAGGCTGGCACAGGAGCGGCTGCTGGCCAAGAAACAGCAGCAGCAGCAGGAGTCGTAGAGTAAACTATGTGTACAAAGTAAGCAATTTTATTGAGGAGAAATAAATTAAGATTCGCGAGTAAGAAAGCCTACAAAATATATGTGCGTATTTACAAGGAGCTTTTGCGGCTCCTCCAAGTCATGATGGATGGATTTGTAGAGCCTCATGAGTGAGGAATACTTGTAAAACTATATACTAAAGTGGATCAACTACATATAAACTTATTGATTAATATGCAGTCGAGGTACAGGTGTGTGTGGGCGGAATCTGAGCTCTATTTCCTAAGTATTGAATCGCACAGCGACACGGGGCAGAAGTTCAAACAGTCCCTTGGCACCGTTGAGCAGGGCAGACACAATATTCATTAGAACTACTTCCTGGTTGGGTGTGCTTTGCGGCTTTTCCTCCTGGTCCTTGGTTTCGGGTGTTCGATCTTTGACAGAATCCCGTATCACATGCAGGAGACGCTGATAGAGGAACGACTGCCTGTAGATGGGCTTGGACAGGCTGAGATGGTCGTCTTTTAGCAGATAAAAGTCACCGAAATTGATGCGAGCCGATTCCTCAGTGACAATGCGCAGGGGGAATTTAAAGGTTGTCAGCATTGTGGGTGAACCCTCGGCCACGCTCATTACTTTGACATGTCGCAGGGCAGTGTTCAGGCAGCCCATGAACCGGCGATGCATCTCGAGCAGCTTGGGAGCATTCTCTTCCATCTCCTTGACTTCAATCGAGGGGGAGAGAATCATCTGTATGTGCTGCTGCCACTTGGCAATAGATGAGCCGCGATGTGGCGTGCCCAGGAATACGATTCCCTTGGTGTTCTTGGCAATCTGTTGTACCTTCGGCTCATGCGAGTCCATGGACTTTAAGATGATCAGCTTGGTGAGCAGTCCGCCCATGGAATGACCAATCCAGACAATGGGACGCTCATTGCCCACATCCGAGACAGCAATACGTTCCAGCAGTGTGCTGGCTCTCACATCGATATGTCCTTGGCCCTTCTCGCAGGGACAATATTTGGTGAAATTCGCCGACCATTCGGTCACAGCCGATGTGTAGTCAATGCCAATGATTCTCGAGTCGGGATAATCGTCGGGCAGCCATTCCATGGGCCAGCAGTTTGTGTATTCCTCGCTGCTCTCCTGATTACGCCACTCGTTGCCGGACACACTGAACTTGCCCCCACAGTCGTTATTGGCATCCAATGGTACATCCGGATGGACCACCTCCCAATCCGAGTCCAGTTCAGCCTGACTGCGTAGGGTCTCCACAAATTCCTTGGTGGCAGCATCGCTGATCTTAAGAGGTTCTTCATCCACCTTTTTGATGGTCTTTAAAACTGGATCTGTAAGGATTTGGCATTAATAATTGTGATTTAAAATCGAATTTCCGCTTTAATTTACCTTTGAAACCGTCCGTTTTGGGCTGGCCATTCGTTTTGTTTGCCTCTGCAGCATTTTGTGCTGGAACCAGTGGCCTGCCTTGGGCCTTCTTATGTTTGTTGCCATTGACACGCTTCTGTTCGCCCACAAGAAACACATCGTCCGTTTCGCTGGTGTAGAAGGCATTCTTGCCGTATAGTCCCAACTCTGTGGGCTTCCTGTCGCGCTGACGCCACGTGATGAATACGCCACCGAGCAGCCCATGGACAAAGACAATGTCTGCCTTGGGCTTGCGACGGGTGCGCACTCTGGGATGCAGGGGATAAACATTGGGTGGATATGTGCACTGGTTGGGATCATCGTGATCCAGATTGGCCATTGTCTTGGCCGAGACCACTTGCAGCCTGAGATCGGGGCACTGTTGCCATTCGGCTAGAGTTCCCACCCAGCCAGTGGTAAAGAAGTGCTCTACGACATCGGGCACCACAGACATGTTGGCCAGAACTTTGCACAGTGTGGACAGGGTCTCGTTGTCATCGCAGAAGATCTTGCGCAGTTCCATGAGATGCACCAGGCCACCATCTTTGATAATTTTAGCCGAAATTTCAGGATCTTTGGTGATGTGATGCAGAAATGAGATGATCTCCTTCAGCAAGTCCGTGTCAGCGGTGGACAAAACAATCGTTTGCTCCTCATTCATATATTCGTGTATGTCCTCCTGCCAAAATAAAGAAAGATACTTGAAATCTATTCGTTTTTTTTTGTTCTTTCTACTGTTTGCTTACAATGGGATCCTGTTCGGGAAAGTATTTGCTGAAGAAATGCTGCACACAGCCCATGGGTCGCAAGCGAGCCAGCATTCCGTGCAGCTCGGAGAGCAGAATTTTGGGATTCTTAATGCAGCCCCGACGATGCACCGGCATAAACCAGCGTGTGTCGGCACCACAGCGCGCTAGAGAAACAGCTGTGCGTGCGTCACACATCTGCGCCAAATGACGAAAGTCCCAATCCTTGAGATGATCCATGCAGACCAATTGCTGGACTGCCTTCAAACGCTCGGGCTGGCTGCCAGTCTGGGCAATATTGAGCAGACGCCAGGCCGCTGAATGCTTGGCCGTCTTCCACCATTTGCCAATGGGATTGATGATAACGCTGATCCACTTTTTCTCCTCCTCCTGCTTCTGCTGCATCTTGCGCATGGACTCCCTGTAGATGTGATATTTTATGTAGATGTATTCCGCGCGACGCTTGTCCGACTCGGGGGCCTTCTTGTCCACATATTGACCAAAGAAATTACGAGCTTGGGGACTACCGTAGAGTAAGATTCCAGCACTAAAAGAAAAGATCAGTAGGATTTAAATTATTAACATTATATAATGTATAGCTATCCAAAAACTATTCTCAACTTTCTATTTCAATTGATCCTATCCCATCCCTTCTGTTATCTTTTTTTTCTCATTGCACATTTTCTTTCGATCTTAAACAACAACAAAACATAACAACAAAAACACCATTATCTGCCAACTATTTTGTTATTGAGATAAGTGCAAGATAAACAACAAAAACAGCAATAGCATTAAAACGTCAGATCAGATTCATGGCGAAAAACAAGTACCGTCCACACGCGCAGCTGCACAATTGCCAAACCACAACACCAACTAACTGAAAAACATAAACAACATCAACAAAAACTATCAAATTCGCGGGGGGGGCTTCGCAGAATTTTTGAATAACTGCGCACATTTATGGCGCCATGTTAGTTTTTTCGGTTATCTGTGTGCATGCGTGTGTGTGCGCGAATGGTGGGGGCCTTGAACAGCTGTTAAAGTCAAAGCAAGGGAAAATGGCACAGCCAAAGAGGAAGAAGAGCGAATGAGTAATAAGCAAATAAACAAAAAGCACTAACAACTTCACCAATATTGCTATCTCATTTTTACAAAATCGTACGTTCTGTTGTGATCGTGTTTAAAGCAGTGGAGGTGGGGAAAATAACCTCTACGCCAGGTAAGTATTGGAGCAAAGCTGTAACAAGTTACATATTACGACGTGGCGATTTCCCCCTTGTAAAGGCGGGTGGCCAAATAATTCCCCTCTACCTAAGGGTAGTGTTTGAACTGAATTTAAATTATAAAATTATAAATATGTATTTTATTGTATGAAATCTATAGGATATTTAATGATTGCGTTGGTCGCTTTAAGGTTGAAGTTTATCCAGAAATTGTTAGCTATTTGGTAAAATATAATGGAAAAATAAAATAATTATTCTTCTGTTGAAAATAAACTATAATTTTTTTCTAAAAAAAATTGCGTTGACCTGACCTATTTATTATTAAGTTATAATTGCATGTGTATGAACTATTTGTTTTTGTGGTCTGTAATTAGTAAACAAATGACGTCACAGGTGCGCAATAGTTTGCTTTGGTATGCGGAAAATATCTAGTTGTTGTTGTTATTTTTGTTATTGTTGTTGTTGTTTTTGCATATCAAGATACATATATAGAAGCGTGTGTAGCATATAGTATGCATAGAAGTCGTACGATATATTCAAGGGGCATGTGGGGCCATTTCTTCAGAAAACGTGTATGTGGGACGAGCCCCCTGAATATCTATGTATGTAAGTAACCTTGTAAAAAGTTGTCTGTCTATTTTTCTATGTATGTGTGATTAGAAAAGAAACTATTTTTGTGATGTGACCTGTAGCATCTGCAGCCAGCAGGAGGGAGAGTACTTTCGTTGAGGTTTGAGATTGAGAAGGTGGCGTGATGTGTTATGATTCACTTACGTGGTCAAAATACCAACTCCACCAAGGCCCACAAGCTTCGGATAACGTCGCAGTGTTGTTCTGAGTTCCTCCAATGACATTGCCTGGTCTCTGGCCCTCCGAAAATTAGTTTCTGTGGTGTAGTTTGGTGGTCGAAACCCACAGACTTGCACTTATTTGTTGCTTCTTTTTTCACACTTTCAATTTAGTTTGATATATCAGTTCACGCCCAATATTCACTAGGGCGGATTGCTTTTAGTTAGCTGCTGTCACTTGGGACTGGTTTGCTTTGTTGTTGCTTTGTTTGGTTTGTTGGCTGATTAGCTGGCGGAATGAACGGGCGATTTCTTTATAAAGGCTTTTTGGATGAGACCACAGCTGATTGATAAGGGGAGGGTGTTGGAAAATTAAGAAAAGTATATTTTATCGATATTTCCGCGGTCACACTGAACTGTTTTGGTACTTTTTTGTGGGATTTCTGTGCATGCGAGAGCGTCTGGCATGAGAGAATTTCCCTGACCGTTTAGACACAGGAGAGGATTTCTTAGATTCCCGAATCACAGGGGATGAAAATCGCCGTGTAATTTACCTGGCGCCACTTGAATTTTTGTGACGTATTTACCAGTTGTCGACCCCTTAATTTTTGATACAAATTTCGCACCATGAAAGTTCTTGTTCTTCGTTAAGGGAGTTTTTAAGCTCTTTTCCTTTGCGAAGTTAATTTGAACAGCAAATGAGAATGAGAAAATCAAACAAATAAAATATATTAATATTGGAATATGGAAAATATATGGTATATAAAATAATTGATTTATTTATTTATTTTCAATTAGGAATTAACTGCTTATTATGGAATAAGAAGAGTAATAAATATAAATTAAATATCAGTTACCAGTACAGGAGAGGAAGGAAAAATCAAATTAACAAATTTGGGTAATAGGTAATCGGAGGGTTGGTTGGATTGTTGTGATTTCAAAATAACAGTCATACTCAAATCAAAGTAAATACAATAAAATGCTTACATTTATAAAGCCAAGTGGCAGACAAAGTCGCTAAGGTGTTCCTGTTCATTTTCATATGTCTCTAATTAGATGTATCTTTTATCTTAAACAGACACAGAATCCTTCTGTTAATTCTGTTAATTATTTGGCTATTCTGCTAAGTATGTTATTGGTATTTATTGTATGTATGTATGTGTGGTAGTAATGTCATAAAGTCATAAGTTATACCAGCCAATAAAAAGGAGTATTTAAAATAAGCCAAATTGATTCTTCAATCGGATCAAATTATTTCTTCAGTGGTGAAAGTCTTTTTTAAGCTAGTAATATCAAATAGAACATCAAAATCGAGGAATATGAATTAAGACTACAGTATATTTACGGTATATTTTGAAGATGCAATGGTATATTTTGATATATTTACGATGCCCTGACGGTAAATTTTATCGATAATTTCGCGGTTAGCATTTGTTGGGTTTTTTAATTAACGTAGCTAGATTAACTTGTTTATATAATGCCTTAAACTTGGCTTTGCATTGCTGCGTTCGTAAATAGTTTCACGCCTTGGTTTTGGACCGTATTTCCATGGATTTTCAGGAAGGCGCACCTCAGGCCCGAAAACAAGTCGCTGGCTGAAAGGAGACGCAGACAGACAGAAAAACATAAATAGCTGTGGGTGGTGGGTGGGGGAGGGTGTTGGCGTAGCGGTTGGGCCTGGCATAAATAACTTGGAGGCCAAAAAGCTATAAAACTCCGCTTTTTGGCGACAAACTCCAACTCCGCTTGACCCCAAAAAGATAATATCTCAGTCCCCCGGCTGCCAGAGTGTCGGCAAGATGAAAATCCATTTTCGAGAGCAGTACGGCACCAAGGGTGAGGAAATACTGTATGTGACGCCAGCAGGTAAGCATCAATATCGATCAAAGTCCGCGAAAGACCTCTGCGAACCCACTACACAATATCTCGCCACGACAGATCAAAGCAACATTGTTCGTGTGCCGCTACGTGGCGATAAGCTGGTTATTCAAGAGAAGTTTCTGCTCTTTCGGGTGCTGCAGAAAATCTTCCTGCCCAAAGGCTATCCGGACAGCGTCAGTGAGGACTATGCAGCCTACCAGATCTGGGATACTGTGCAGGCCTTCTGCAGCACCATCTGTGGCACACTCTGTACCCATGCCATACTCAAAGGCATTGGCGTGGGCAGTGAGAATATCAATGCCTACTCGGCGACAGTCACCTGGATAATGAAGGAGGGCTGCGGTCATGTGGGTAGAATATTCTTCGCCTGGTGGAAGGGCTCCCAACTGGACGTGGACTCTAAGAAATGGCGTCTGCGTGCCGATTTCCTTAACGATCTCGCAATGGGAATCGAAATCTATGTGCTTCCCAAATATCCACATCTCAGTACCCAAATCCTATGCGGATCCACCATGCTCAAGGCAATTGTAGGAGTGGCTGGCGGTGCTACGCGTTCTGCTCTGACCCAACATCATGCGGTTAGAGGAAACCTGGCGGATGTTGCTTCCAAGGACAGTTCCCAGGAGACGTGCGTCAATTTGGTCGCCTCTTTTGTGGGTCTATATCTGCTGACGCTGATCAAAAGCCAGGCGGTGCTCTATACGGTGTTCTATGTGGTTGTCGCCCTGCATCTCTATTCGAATCTCAAGGCGGTGCGTTCTGTGTGTCTGCGCACATTCAACGAATCGCGCTACCTCATAGCCCTGGAAGAGTACTTTCGATCGGCGCGAATGCTATCTCCACAGCAGGTGAGGGTCCATGTCTGCCAACATAACGAAGAGAATCCCAACGGCGTTTCACTTGCAGGTCAATGGCATGGAGAGGGTGACGCTGGGACAAACTGTATCTGTGTCGCTCAACGTGCGCCTCGGACTGAGTGTAAAGAATTTGATTGACGAGTACAAGACCAGCAGTTCCATTGACAACATTGTCTCCTCGTTTGATCCCCATGAGCACTTCATCATAGCCGAGAGTAAAAAATACTTGGGCGTCTATCTGCATTTCGAAACACGCCAGCAGGATGTGCTCAAGGCGTACTTCTTTGCTGTTTCCTATCTGCAGGACAGGAATCAGATCAAGGAAAAGTACTGGGATGTACAAACCAAATGGCAGGAGTTTGTAGGTCTAGCACAAAAGGAGGGTAAGTAAAAGAAAAAACATTCATTATAGATATTCGATATATTCCGCACATTATTGCTTGCAGGTTGGCTGGTCCATCAACATTTGCTGCTGGTAGACGAGTTCCGTTTGGACTGGAAGGTGTAGAATGGTGTCGCGTTGCTTGACGTTTTTGACTAAGTTGCTTTTGCTTTAAAATATTTGATTTCATTCGAAAATCATTATCATTCTCACATATCTCACATATCTCACTACATGGTAAAACTACACAGAGCAAGAAGCAAACAAATGAAAACATTGATATTAACTAAGTGCTACTGATATTTATATAGATTTTAGCTTCGTGAAACTCGTTCGCACATGAACATCTTCCAATTAACTCTGCCTTGGCACGAAAGTAATGTTTTAGTAACCAAAGATATTTGGATAGGAGATTTTTGTTTCCTTTTTGTTGCTTTCACACATGAATTTAATACGCTAATTTCAATTATTAGAATGCTACTGGAAAAACTGGTAAAGAAACACAACACACTCGACAAAAATCTATTTTGTAAGAACATATTGTATGTATTTCGATATTTCGAGTGCCTACTGTAATTTTTTTAGATAATCAAGACAACCTGCTGCACAACGAAAACAGAACCCAAGCCCCTCGCTTAAAATGCATTCCCCACGCCCACATAAAAAGTGTACAAAGTTTTAAAACGTTTTTTACGCTAAATGTGCAATATTTTGTTAATTATTTAGCTTCGAATATCTATTGGATAAGTTGGCGTCCATTTTAGCTTACGATAATGCTTGCCTATTAAAGCAAAATATGAAATATGTGCAAAAACAAATCTCAACACGCAAATGATTTTAACAAAAGAATTGAATAAATTTGAACATTTTAAGAAATTTACTTTACATTTTATTCTTATATTCTATTCATATATAGCGCCTTCAAATGGTCGCAAGAAAATATCGATTTCCAAAACAAGAATCGATGTTTACACCAAAACCAGATAATCGATATTTTCCCACCTCTAAACACGTGTGAACCAGCGTGTTTTGGTCTACAGAATTTTTGAATTGGTTGTTTTCAAGTGAAATTTTCAGTTGTTAAAGAAAATTAATATGGAAAATGAGCAGCCAATGGCTGTGGGAGCTCCTGCTACAAGCTCGGCAGCCCAAACAACAGCAGAAACGCCTACAACTACCGAAAGTGTAGCAGAAGTTTCAGCAACAAATGTCGACGAAGTAGCAACAGCTACAGGTAAAGTGGAAGCTACGCCCGAAACAGGTAAGATTCAAGAAATTACATATGGTTGAACAAAATAAAGACTGGTTTTGTCATACAGAGACTGGAACTGCAGCAGAGATATCCCCTGAAATGGAGCTAAAGACGAAGGCCAATGATTCAACACATGTTGAAAACGAAGACCATCAGGAAAATCCAGAACCAGTCGTAGCTAATGCAGAGGCACCTGCTGTAGCAATGGATTGCGAAGATGCCACGCCTCAGATCACGCCGGCTGGTGAAACTATTGTAGAAGAAGTGCCCAAAATTGTTCCGTCAGCAGAGACTGAAATGGACAAAGCATCAACTGCCCCAGAGACCGTGCCAGTGGTGGTAGTTCCAGAAAATGGTACAGCCGACACCGTGCCAGAGTCTGCAAATCCGCCATGTTCTGGTCTTAGTCTACTGGCAGCCTACAGCTCCGATGCCGAGTCAGACACTGAACAAGCCACCAGAATTGAAGACAGCGACAATGAAGTGGTGGAAGTTCCTGTGACAGGTCCTGCCACTGCAACAGCTTACCGTCGCCCCATGTTGGCTGTTAGCTCTGGTAGCGAAAACGAGAAAAGCAGCAGCAGCAGTGACTCGGATTCGGACTCTGAGGGGGAATACTTGACAGTTTTGCGCAAGAAAATTGATAAGAAAATCAACACCGAAGACTGTGACGAAGAGGATGAGGATTTCGAAGAGGATGGTGCCACAGGGGAGCGTCGCCGTCGGCAGCCACCCAAAGTGCGGGGTGAAATGCTATTGGATGAGCTGCCACCTATCCATCAGTTGGAGATTACCGTACCAGAAGACGAGTGCATTGAGCTGGGGAAGGTCCATTCCATTGTCGATCAACTGGTGCTGGTCAGTGTGCTGCCCAATTCGATGCTATTCGATCTGGACACCGTGCTCTTTCTGGAAAAGGGACGCAAGGTGCTGGGCGAGGTGTTCGATGTGCTGGGACAGGTATCCGATCCGCTGTACTGCATCCGCTTCAATACCAATCAGCAGATCCAAGATCGTGGCATCAAAATCGGTGATGTTGTCTACTGTGCCCCCAAAACGGAGCACACTCAATTTGTGATTCTCTCCAAGCTGATGCAGGTCCGCGGATCGGATGCCTCATGGGAGCACGACGTAGAGCCACCTGCTCGCTATATTGACTACTCTGATGACGAAGCAGAGCGTGAGGCTAAGCAGGATCAGCGCAAGAGACGCCAACGAGATCGCACCAATTCCACGGATTCAGTTAGCTCCGTCAGCACTGTGGCAACTGAGGCATCGGCCGCTGCAGCAGCACCTCCACCGCGACAGCGTGGACGTCGTGGCCAACGTGATAGCTATCAGAATCAGCGTCAGTATCAAAATCAGTCCCATCAGGGCTCCTCCCCCCAGCAGCAGCATCAGCAACAGCAGCCAAGAGGAGACTCGCAGTACAACTATCATCCTAGCTATAATCCCGGCAGCTGGCATTCGAATTATTATCACAATTATCATCAGCCAGCGGCTAACTTTAATATGCCGCAACCGGGCATGTCCTATCCGATTCCACCGCCAGCCTATGGCTATGGCATGCCCTATGGCGTGCCACAAATGATGCACATGGGTCCACCGCCGCCGCATCATATGTACTCTCAACCACCACCGCCAGCATTTGCACAGCCACAGAACAGGCACCCACCGCCACCAAACGGAAGTTAGAGCTGGACGATCTCTGCTGTGGATTCTTCTCTTTTTCACTTTATTATTCCAATAATAAAAAATGGTTCTTAAACAATTTGCGTGTTTCATTAAAAAGGTTATGCTCTGGTTTGGTTTGTTCGATAAAATGCATTTCATTATTTGTATAAAAAGGTACTTAATATTCTCTGTGTGTGGGATTCTCTTCTGAATATGAATTGATTGGTGTAAATAGGTTAGTTGTATATGTGGGAACTATAACTATAATAATTGTGTACTTGACATTGCTTTTTTAATACAATTACAACGGAAGCACTGAAGCGGCCAAAAAACAACTTTAAGTGTTTGTGTATTTATATAAATAGAGGCGTGGCATTCTATACTAAAAATATGCTATAAGTGTGCACCTTTGTATATTATTTTGTATTGTATTGTATTGTGTTTGTCTGTTAACAACGAGTTGCACAAAGCCAAAAAACTTTCCATTAGAACGTATTTTGATTGAGCTTATTCGAGCAACCAAGTGATCCTTTAGGATCAGGCACGTGAGAATGTGACAATTAAAGGGTGTTTTGTGTGCTCCTCCACCAGCCATGGAATTGTTTGGGAGAGAGCTTCGGTTACAAAAGTGATACAAAATTATACAAATGCTCTCTCTCTCTCTTTGAACGTTCCAAACTGGCGGAGGATATCGAGCTAATTATTTACATTTAAACAAAGAAAATAATTAAAATCAACGAATCAACAATGCGTCTAACAATTCTAGATACAAAAAAAAACATCTCCACGGACAATTCTCTACCTTTCAATCTGATGACGCGGCTTGAGCAAAACTATCACCGCGGTTATGTTATCCTGCGAGTCTCCCTCCTTGGCCGCCTCAATCAGTAGCTTCGGAATGTCATCGAGTTTCGTTGTCGTATCCGCCAGACGCTCATAAACAGTGTCAATGACGAAAGACTCTGGCACATGATCCCACAGGCCATCGGTGCCCAGCACGAGAAAGTCATGCGCTTCATTTAGATCGACATCAACGAAATCTGGCTCGGCTATGACCGCCTCCAGGCAGTAGTCACCAATGGAACGAGCCACATTAAGAATGCCGTTCACACGCCACTGACCCTGGGCATGTAGTACAGTACCGCCGGCCGCCTCTATGCGTTTGCGCTCATCGGGGGACTCGGGTTTGTGCGGTTTGACCAGTTGCAGCTGTGTGCGTTTGCCCACTAGCAGGGCCTTCGAATCGCCCACCCAGGCTATGTACAGTTGATCTCGGTTGATCAGAGCACAGACGCTGGTGGTGCCGCTGGTGATGCGTTTTTGGATAAAGCGTTCGTCAGCCTGCAGGAATGCCGTCTCAAAGGCATTGCGATAGAAGTCAGAGCTGCTGTGCGCTGCTTCTAGGTCCTCTGTTCGCTTTAGCTGATTGGCCAGGAGCTGGGGCAACTGACTTGTGACATAACTGGCGGATAAGGAACCAGAGTGTCCGTCAAAAACACCAAAGAACCGACAATCCCTGTTGGGCAGCTCAAAGATGGCACCAAAACGATCCAAACACACGTGACGATCCTCCATTTTGCGTGGCTTGTTCTTGACTGCAGCGGATGTGTGCAGCGCCGCTTGGGCCACTCCACATACGCAGTGCTCGGGATTCTGGCAGATGACACCTTCTTCGGCGTAGTCTTTCAGATGCTCCATCTCCGAATTGTCTGTTAACTTTATGAGCAGCTTGTCCATTTGATTGCCAACAAACTTTTGGAGCTTCAGCAGATCATATTGCGGGGGACCCTCGCCAGAGACCTCGCACTCCTTGGCGTAGCATATCTCCTGCTCCAACAGTTGTGTGGCCTGGTGAAGCAGCTTCAGGCGGAAGCCCGCCGGACAGCCTCTGTTATTCAGCTGCTGCCAAATGGCGGCCACCAGCTCAGCGTGTCGCTCCTCCACCGACACCTTGTAAGTGTCATTGCTGGTGCGCGTTACACAAGATCGCGTCAGATCCTCACTGACGGCATTCGCTTTGGCGGCTGTCGAGGCCAAAAACTGCTTGAATTCCAACAAATGTGCACATTCCGCTGAAGGTTCTGGTGTAGATGCTGGTGGTGGCTCCTTAATCGAATCGGCCGACATAATTAGGTGCAACGCGTGGGCCCAGCTACTGTTATTGCTGAATGCCAATCATGTGTTTATTAGTTTACTTTAATTGTTGCTTAACTAAACGATGAATCACTTGATGTTTATATTCTTTTATGTACCTCGCGCGATGTTAGTCAACACTGTATCCGGCGCTCAGCTGTTGATTTTGTTTTTGTTGTTGCAAAGCAATCTTTCATTTTTAAGTTATTTTATTCTAAAAAATGTTTAAATATTGTTAAGTTTAGACAGAAGAAATAAATAATATCACAGTAACAATGTCTGCGTTGGAGGCCCAGACCGAGGAACGTGAGGCCCTGCAGTCCATCTACGAGGGCGACGAAAATTTCAAAGAAGTTGACGCCACCACATTTCAATACAAGGTAGGCCACATGGATACAATGGATATGAGAGCCACGCCAATAACCGAAACCAACTCCGATATTTAGTATGGGGAAGAGAATCACTACAAATCGTTTCTGGTGGAGCTCAAGTGGGGCGACAACTACCCGGAAGAGGCCCCCGCTGTCAATATGAACACGTTCTACAACAGGCATCTGTAAGTGATTTTCGGCTAACCTCCAGAGAAAGCAAATTCATTATCAAAGATCATCCTCTACAGGTTGCCAGCCGTCAAGGAGCAGATCCTTAAGGTCGTCTGCAATGAAGCATCTCTATGGCTAGGCTGTGGCATGACGTACAGTCTTTTCGAATGCCTTAAGGACAACATTGACCAACTGACTGAAGGACAGACGGAGTCTGCCCCCGTTGTGGCGCTGGTGGATGAAGGTGTGGGTGCCCTGAAAATCTCAGATGCGGACGCCGATGCCAAGAAGAAGGAACCCAAGAAGGAGCAAATGACCAAGTCGCAAAAGCGCCGCCAATGGGAGCGAACCGATCACAAGGGTGATCGTGTACGTGGCTGGGATTGGGTGGACCTTGTTAAGCATTTATCACAAACGGGCAGCAAAGAAGACTCGGCAGCAGCCGCCGAAAGCGCAGCGGCAACAGCAGCAGCAGCACCCGTGCTGCATCCTCTGAATAATTAAGCAATTAACTTACTTAAGAACCACAAAAACAACGACAGCAACCCAAACACAAATCAAAAGCCAATCATAAGTCAATGTGACGCGTGTCTGCTTTTGGCCAGAAAACATTAATTTTATAGTTTTTTGTTCAACTATTAAAAACAACAAAAAACGTAAAAAAAAATAATATTTCTTTATGCGCCACCTTCTGAATTTTAGTAATTTATCCTCCACCGCATTATTGCGTTTACCAACACTACTATCATTGCACATTCGGCTTAATAGGCACTTTTTATATTCAATTAATATGGATATAAACGACGTAAAGTGGTTGCAAAAAGTAGTGCCCTTGCTTTACAATGCATTGGAGCAGTTGAAAAAGATGGAAGAAACAAAAAAGGAGCCGCCGAGGCGTAGAAAACGACGTGCAACACCATCGCCACCTCCATCCCCTGAGCGCCGGCCAGAGGAATCGCAGAAAACTGAACCACAGATCAATCGTACAATTTGGGTGAAAGAAGAGTATCTCTACCGCGATAGGGAGGGCTTCTTTGCCACAACATTCGAGAATTTATATGAAAATAACCATGAAGAATTTAAGGCTCACACCAGGATGACACCCCGAGTTTTCGACATGCTTTTTGATCTGGTGGCGGAACGATTAACAAAGAACTCTATACGTACGCCCATTTCCCCCGAATGCCGCCTGTTCCTTACCTTGAGGTAAGCCCCCACACAGATAAATCTAAATACATTAACTCAACGCAATTCCCTTTTAGGTATTTGGCCAGTGGTGAGAGCACCGGGTGCTTGGCAAAGTCCTTCAAAATGGGTCCCTCAACCGTGCGTGCGATAGTTCGGGAAACCTGTGACGTTTTGTGGACAACATTGTCTCCCACCTTGATGGCCCAGCCCAAAGAGGAGGAGCTGCGTGCCATTGTCAGGGGCTATCAAGATAAATTCCAGGTGCCCCATTGTCTAGGTGCCGTAGACGCCAAACGATTGGAAATTTCATTCAAGGGAAAAGAAAATCTGGTTCTACTGGCGGCCTGCGATAAGAACATGATTTTCATTAGAATCGATATTGGTTCGGTCTTTACCCCTGCATGTCGAGTGGATTGGCACTATGAATTCGGAGCGCAGCTTTTTGGGGAGCAACAGCCAGAAGACATGGGTCCTGCATCCCTAGAGAGTCCCGATTTGGGCCATGCCTTTATAGCCAGCTCTGCTTTTCCCCTTGGCAACCAGCTTATAACGCCATACCCCACACCTACGTTGGAGGACGACCAACTACTTTACAATCAGAATCTGGCCATAGCCTTGGAGGACACAATCGACAAGGCCTTCAGAGTGTTAATGTCACGTTGGCGAGTCCTTTCCGAGACCATCTACTGCAGCAAAGTCATTGCAGAGAAACTGGTACGCGCAGCTGTTGTTGTACACAATTTTGCCAAGCGGCACGATGACACCTACTGTCCGCATAGTTTCCTGGATACTGTTACGACCGTACGAGCTTGTCCTTCTTCCACAGATGTGCCCACTGATTGGCTACGATACGGAACGAAAGATCAACAAAGAATAAACTCGGCGAGCGAGTTGCGGGATACCATTAAGGATGTGATGAGCAAGGAATCTTCAGAGCCGAGTATATTTGAAGCTCTGCTTGATAGTTTAGAATGGAACTAGAATAAATCCATATGGGATAGATGTTAATTAATTAATTAATTAATCTTTAATGGGAAAACTTTATTTTGACAATCATAATAGCAAAGCATACAAGTAATAAAATCATATTTCAATACAAAACTCAAGATCAAATCGATTATATGGTAATACATTGTTTGCAAGGTTCAACATTTAAAGGATAACTAGCTGTAAAAACGTGGATTCTATGTCGCGGTCAACCGTTCCTTAATTGATCACTCCTTCTGCACGCACGTTCAACGCATCGAGCAGGGCACCCATCGGTGTAGATGGACCAAAACTCTCGATGGTGTTCGCCAGCTTGTTCTTCATGTTACGTAGACGCAGCGAGGCGTGTATAAATGTCACCGAAACGGGCAGCAGCAAGGTGAAGGCGGTCAGCAGCACGGCGCTAATCAAATGCAAAAAGAGATATCCACCAATCAGAGCACCGGCCAGGATGTACCATTTTTGTTGAGCATTTTGTTCGGCAGCATTGGCATTGCCTCCCGTCAGACGGCTGGCGATGAAGCTGGGCTTGGATTTGCTGCTGAAGAATTGCCAAATTACAGCAATGATCAGGGCCTGGACAATCAAGCCACTGAGGATTTTGGTTGGATTGCACACAATCATGAGGGCATAGATGACCAGGAAGAGCAGAATGTAGTTGGTTTGGTAGTAGAGCAAGTTCTTCACCACGCGATTGCCCCACTTGTCGAAATCCTTCAGGTTAGGCAATTGGAAACGCGCCGATCCAAGCACGAAATCGTCTAGGGTGCGCAGTGGTGCCAACTGCAAGTTGCCCGACAGGGCAGCAGCGGCATCGCTCACAGAAGATGCGGTTGGAGCTGACATGGCCTTTGAGTATTGACTGAGTTTTCTGTTTTTAATATTATCGACTTCTTCCGGCGACAGCTTTTTGTATGCAGTCTGACGCACTCCACGGGTCAATTGATGCAGTTCTTCCACGTTAAACAGCTGAGACAGCTGCCTAATTTTTGGCCGCAGCCCGGAATCACTCGATTTACGATTGCTTTTCGGCAAGAGACGCGACTTCTCGTCTGCGTCAAACCAATTGTAGCACTCCTCGTGGTCACTATATTCCTCCGCACCTAGTCGCTCCAGCGTAAATTACAATTTTTTCACACAAGAATTTGTGTGACGAATCTCGTCTGTGTGGCTTTTAACTACTCACAATGATTTCATTTTTTGCTCATTTCTGAGTGCTAGGAATGAATGCTATTTCATCGATTTTGATATTCTGTTTAGTATTGCTAGCTAGCTGGTATCCTCAGCGCTGATAATATAATTTTAGCCAATAATCTGAACAATTTTCTACATGATTGGCTAAGGTTAAATACTTTCTTTTATTAGATTGTGCTGAAAATAAAGTTTAAACAAAAAGTACCGATAAACTGTTAACAAAATTTATTTTTGTAAATGGCAACAACACATTTGTTACGTGGCAACTACGCAGGGATGTAATTCTCACGGCGGCATCTAGCTAATGTAGAAAATTAGTTATTTTCGCATTTACAGTTTATTTGACTAAAATTTTCAAATTACAATTTTGTATGGCGAATTTTGGATGTAAATATGATTGTGAATTTATTCAGAAAATATCCCACTTTCGTTGAAATTCACAATCACAGTTACGCATCTGGAGATGGGGATTCTGTTGCTGGAAAATCGAATAAAATGCATTTGTGCTGACAACTTTTTGATCCATGTTCTGATCCTGCTGCTGCTGGCCCCGATGGCACTGGTAGGGCACGGCTATACTGCAGGAAGATGTGAAATAGTCTCCAAAGCGCGGCTTCTCAGGTATTGACGGATCTGGCAGCACCCGCACACTGCATGTTTCCTTGGCAAAACGAGCACTGGAATCGTAGAGCACAAGAACCTCGTTACGGGAGTCATTGTGGGTACGTTCACTATCACAGAAATTAATTGCCGGTTTAAGTATATCACTCGTTGTCTTTGCAAATGTTTTGGCCTCGGGCACTATTACTTTCTTAGCCGGTAGCGGTTGGAGGTTAAAATGGAATTTGTGAATTGGTGCCTCAGATTTAGTGATTTTCGAATAGTTATGGCTTTTCTTTGCTGTTCCATCTTTTTCTTTACTGTTTTTCTTTTCCGCTTTTTTTTGCAGTTTATCATCTTTCTTGAGATTATCTGCGCTTGGATCTTTTTCTTTCTTCAAACACCAACTGAAAATGCCTTTTGATTTGGATGGTTTCTTCCCTCTATGCTGATCCTGTTGATTCTTTTCTGAAATTTTGGATTCCTTTGATGAGATTTTCGATTGCTTTGACAGACTCTTTCTTGCCCCGGGTTGTTCCTTTTCCTTTACGCTCTGCATGGAGACTTTCTTCTCTGACTTTTTTATTAGCTTGTAGTGTTGGCATATGAGATCCTGTGGGCATATTTTTGAAGCGACTGCAGGTTTTTGTTGCTCTAGATATTGCAGGTAGGAGCATATGGGCTCTTGCTGGCATATCGACTTGGTGGCATCAGCAGCGCTTATGAGATCTTGTTGACATTTTTCATTGGAAGATGCGGCTGCTTCAACTGCCCTAGTCTCTCTATATTTTTTAAAGTCCTTGAATATTAGCGCTTCGTAGTTATTGAAAAACGACTGTTTTACAAAGGTGGAATCTGTGTTTCTGCTCTGCTTTTTGTGTTGTGGGTCAGGGTTCTGGTTATTTGTCTCTCTTGGCCGGTTTTTTAGGCCGGAATCTCTAGCACGAGTAATCGCTGCTGGAAAGCGAGTTCCGCCTCTCAGTTCTCCCTCTGACAGAGTGTTCTCTGTTGCAAAGCGAATGCTTCCTCTCTGCTCCCCCTCGGAAATACAGTTCTCTGTCTGACAACAAGTTCGTCCTCGCAGTTCGTCCTCTGATAGGCTGTTCTTCTTTGTTCTCCCTTTGGAAAGCAGGCATTTTTTATAGTTGGAGTCTGGTTCATGTCGGATTGGCACATACTTGTAGCAAGAGGTTGGCCTAATTAGGTACATATTCGAGCGCTTCTTTGACTTGATGCCCAAGACGGGACGGTATGATCCAATTGCTTCCCGAACCTTTGATCTGCCTCTGGTCTTGCGAAATTCATTCATCAGATGCGGCTGGATGCAGCATTGTTTTGCTCCTAAATAGGATTTCAATGAGAAATGTTTGCGACTTCTACGATTGGGTGCATCTTCCGGGCTAGTGTCATCCTCATCATTGTACCGTGGAAATGAACTTTTCGAAGTGCTTGAATAAGGCGCTTCTCCCTCATCCTTGATCAGGCTTAGTACATGCACAAATTTCTCCGAGCCCTTGAGTTGCTTGCTTTCCTGTCCATAGCCGCCGCCTCCGTTTAGCTTCTCTGGTTTTTTTCGCTCCTCTTTGGGTGGAATCGCTTGATGGGATAACTCTTTAAATGTTTGGCTTTGTTCAATATATTTTGCACTGCTACTTACGTGCCTTGGCTGCATCCTTGTTGCTACCTATTTGGCTGATGTACTTCAGAATTCGATTGGTGTCTGGGCGCAGTGATTTCACATTCAAAAAGGGAATCGATTGTCCCATGACGTTTGAGGCGCCAGCACACATGTGGCTGGGGCAATAGCACATATTATGCTGATACGGATCGAATTGCCTTCCTATGTTTGGCACTTTATATGTCCCATCGCTCTCATTGTTGTTAGCCTCATTGGAATTGCTATGACTAGAGCGACTGTTGTCTCTATCGTGTGGTTGATCCTCATCTAATATATGACTTGTTGAGCCACGTTGACGAGCTCTCTGCTCCATTTCCAGACCCGCCAATGCCGTTTGCAATATCTGAATAATCCGACTCACATCGCACTTATCGCCCCCAGCATAATCCTTTTTAGCATTTTTCCCACTCCATGGACAGTTTGTCTGAGTGCATGCCTCCGAGCATTTAAACTGAAAATTGGCGCGGTTACAACAGCATGGAGGGAGCATTAAGGATCTGTCACCGGTTTCATTTGGATGCACTTGAGATCTTTGAGCTGCCACCAGATCATTGTTTGGAAAATCCATAGAAACACGACTGCGACTTTGTCGCATCATCATCATGGTCTGGGATGTTTGGGCTGATGCTTCAACGCTTTTGGGATCATTTGCACCTCGAAAGGGTGAACCTGCATTCAATGATCCAGGGTTGTTGTGACTGCCGCTTCGCCTTGAGTTGTGACTCTGCAAGCAACTCGCCTCAACGCATATGGGATCACAAGTTTTGGTCACTGGACAAATGCCACAGCTGTTGGTTGCACCGCGATAGGCTGAATCCATATTGAAGGATCCACATTTTCTTGAATTCTGGCTCTGCAGGCCAGTGGCTGCAGCGGAAATCAGACCCGAGGTCAGAGTGGAGGCATCCGCACACCTGCGACACTTTCGCCTGCACTTGGAATCGTTACACACACCCGTGCGAAAGGAACCTACACTGTTATTTCCCGAAATCATTTGAGATGTTCTCTTGCGTAGATTTTCAGCATCAATTTCCACTGGAATAACATCCACGCTGCCTTCCCTTCTGGGCCTTGCCCTGTGGCTACTACGTCTCTCGGAGTTTGCCTTGTCCCGATGCCTGCTGTGTTTTCTACTTCTACTTGCACTTCTTCCTAGGTAACAACCTTTAGACTTTGCTCGCCCATAATCACTGGGTCTTCGTGACGTTGGTTGTTTGCTTTTAGGCGTAGAGGAGAGTGGCCTACGATTCACAATTGAGCTGGCACTTGCATCAGTGCTCAATGACTTGTTCCAACTCCTGTTTATATCGGAACTGGAGGAGGATTCTCTTTGTGCTCGACTCTTGCCCTGTGAGCATCGCGTATTCCTATTCAAACTGTCAAGACTTTCTCGGCTTGGTATGCCCTTCGTTCTTCTGTGGGAACTTCTTGGCTCGTAGCTACTTGACTGAGATGCTTGACGAGTCCTTGGTTTCCTAGACATGCTTAGATTCATTCTGCTGCTGTCGTCGGTTGTGCTGGCATGAGATCCACTTCTGGACAGCGACTGCGATTGATTTTGTATGTTATTGGCTCCTCTTTCGCAAATGCAATGCGCCGAAGCAGCACTATCAAGGCCGTAGGATTCATCATAACGATTTGGCATGCGCTCTCGTGCGGAACAGGACGCACAATCTTCGTAAGCAGCCTCGTGTATGTACTTCTCTATGTCCTTTTCAGTGGGCAATAGCATAGTCCAGCGGCTGTCGCGCTTATGGCCGCCAGTGCCTCGGGGAATTTCCACACTTGACATTTTCTTGAAGGGAACTTGCTCGAGGCTCACATCCGATGGTTTATACCCCCCACAGTCGGTATAGTCGCGCTTCATGGGTGCTGGTTTGATTTTCGCTTTCGCTGACTCGTGTGGACGTTTCACATCCTCGCCACTGGATGCTCTTTGCCGTATTTTTCGAATGCTGAAACTATTCTCACTCGTCTTCGATGGACTTCTGTTGCGCTCAAGAAGCTTTTCCTCCAATACGGAAGTAAACATTGACCTGTAGGACTTTTTCGGTGGCTTATACTTGGGTAACTTGGGTAACTCCACCTTTGGGAGTTGTTTGGGCAAAGTCTGAGTCAGCGCGGACACCGCTCGTTGATGTGGCTTTGGCAGGGGCTTTGGCAGGGGCTTTGGTTGTGGCTGCACCTTCATCTGTGCCTTTGTGCGTCTCTGACGTCTGGCAGCGGCCTTCATTGTACACTGAACAGAATGATCGGTTTTTAGTGGTGTGTTCAGCTGATGATCGTAGGGCGTGCGATTAAGACGCGCACAGTGGGTCACCTCCTGCAGGCTGTTGCTCGTCTCCTGTGCATTCTCCTCTTGTACTCGCACATCCAGAGCCCAGCTGGATGGATAAGCAGAGGAACGTGAACGACTGCTACCCCTTGATGCTGCACCGCCCAGACTAGCGCCAGATTTACCCTCCAGCAGGTGCCTACTATGAAGACCATCTGTCGGTAGAAAACAATTTAATTAGTTCTGCAGCCAAGACTTTTAAAAACTCACCAGAAGTTTTTTGTCTCCGCCAAGAACGTGTATCCTTCTTTGGCTGTGGAAACTCTGGCGAGTTCTTTAGTATTTTCGGTCTTGTCTGTGATTTGGGCCTCTCGCGACTCGACCCTGACAATGTCCGCTGCATGGCCCTCACCAATTTGGGATCCCGAGACAGCGAGGCCAGCACTGTAATGCCTGTCTTAGACAATGGACACAGCGGTGTGGTTGTTTCGGTGTCATTGTCATTACGGGCACACTTGCTCAGTGCCCGTCGCAGCAGAATCTGCTTGGCCGTACGTCGTTTCTTAACATATTCATTCATTTTTGAGGCACAGAGGAGCAGCACATTCCAGTTGGGTTAAAGCTGGAAGCATTTTTTTTTGTAGACAGCTCGAGAAAAGCCAACCAATACACGTACTGGAAAAAATATTTATGTGGTCAGTCGATTGGGTTTATTTCCTACCAGCAGCAACCACCACAGCCAACACTGTAGCTTCTTTTGTCCACCGGATAGCAGCAGGTGTTGACATAGTCGTGGGGTTGACTTCGCGGCATTGGGTTCAGCACAAAAGGCGGACTGGCAAAGCGATCGCACTTCGGGCGCTTTCGCTTGCGACATTTCATCCTGGTAGGACATCCGACCTCTTTGGGTAAGAGTTCGCGCAGGGTGCGATCCAGATTACTCGAATCACAGGCGCACACAATCACAGCCTTTTGCATATGGTCAATAATCACTCCTAAATCCGATTCATTGCCGCTATCCGTATAAACCATTTTATCTCTGCTCAAAGCATCCGCCGATCGGAATTGATGAAGACTTGGGAAAGCACCTGTCGACCGGCTTTGAGGTGCTCGAATAAATTCCGATGAGCTGCTCTGGGTAGCTGCCAATCTATGACAGCGGTCAATCTGAGGAGTGCGGTCTCGCTTAAAAGTCTGAATCTGTGGAGCACAACAACAACACGTGTATTGGGTGCCCGGTTTTCGCCTTAGACTGCGCACCCGATTTGTACGTTTTGTCTGCGTTGCCTTTATGTTGGCGTTTTGAAAGTCCATCAATAGACGCGATGTTTGGGTACTCAACGAGCATTTGTGATCACATGTTTTTGCTTTTGGACAAATGCCGCAGATGTTGGCTGGCGAACTGCTTCGACTTCCGCCCATCAACTTACTGCCCCGCCTAGAATGCGTCTCTCTTGGGGTCATAGTGGAGGCATCGGCACATTCGCGACACTTTCGCTTGCATTTGTAGTCACGGCAGGCATTTTGACGTACCATCAAATCACTGCTGCTGGTGCTACTATTTCGCCCGTACTTTTCCCTGTGTCTCTCGGAGTAGTTGTTGTTTCTCCTGGAGTTCTTTGGGCTGCTTGTACAAACACATGTTTCAGTGGTTCTGCTTTCGTACTTGTGTGGAGAGGAGGAGTCCGATACGGATCTGTATCTGTGTGTTCCGCGTGCTTCATTCGTTTTTCTGGAACGGTGACTTTCACTGGCTCTCCTGGAATGGTGTGTTTCACTGGCTCTCCTGGAATTGCGTGTCTCACTGGCTCTCCTGGAATGGAGGACTTCACTGGCTCTCCTGGAATGGTGTGTTTCACTGGCTCTCCTGGAATTGCGTGTCTCACTGGCTCTCCTGGAATGGAGGATTTCACTGGCTCTCCTGGAATGGTGGGTTTCGCTCGCTCTCCTAGAATTATGCGCCTCCCTCCCTCTCTTGCAATTTTGCATTTTACTCTCTCCCCTGGAATTGTGGGATTCATTAGCTCTGCTGGAATTGTGCGCCTCCCTGTCTCCCCTGCAATTGGATGCCCCCTGCCGTTTTGCTTCCAGTCCGGCACATAAACAGCAAGTTTTAATTTCTGACTTTTTTCTGCACTTACTCTTTGCTGGCCGCTCATTTGGACATTGATTTTCGTCAAAAATCGGACTTCCGCGCCTAGAATGTACCTGGCTATTAGTATTTTCAGGTACGTTTACTGGTTCTGGTGGCCCGTCGCATATTTGGGCGCTGGGCAAACATTCATGACACTTACGTGAGTGCGTGTGCCTTGTGCATAATTCCCCTGTAGGACCTTTGCACTTTGGGCATATTTGTTTGAAAGTTTTGCTTGTTTTGCTTTGCTTGGCAACAGTTGAGGGACTCTTCCGAACTACCAATAGGCCTGCACTTGAACTTGAACTTAAAGGGGGATCCCTTTCAAGTTTTTTTGTTTTCCCCGACTTGTCTGCGAGATTTCTTCCTAAGGGTGCATTATGCACAATCTCAGTGCCTGACTGGGTACTGACACGCGAGGGTTGTTTGACAATCTTCGCTGCTCCATTTCCTTGATTCGTTGGCCATGAGGTATGTCTATTTAAGCCACTAAAACTTTCCTGGCTTTGAGCCTTTGATTTGTGCCAATCTTTGGCTTGACTATTCCCTTGTCCGACTTCAACTCGTGTACCAGATCCACACTCACACTTCATGGAATGGCTTTCAAATCCGCGTGTTCTTGTACAGAACATAATACAGTGGGAAACATCTGGCTGTGTGCTCTGGGCGGCTCGTCTTTCCATGGCTTCCATTTCGCACATGCAGAGATCACCCTGCGAGTTTTTAGACGGTTCATCATCATGAGAATTTTCTGTTGGTTTGACTTCCTTTACTTCGCATAAGCAACAATCATCCTGCGAATTTGTAGTCGGTTTGATGCTATTATAATTCTGGGAATTTTCAATTGGTTTATCTTTGATCTTCAGGGAAGCGTCATGCCTTTTATTTGTTTCATCATTTGCATCCATGTTCCCCGGGAATTTTTCTGTTCCTTTGATCTTTTTCGTTTTACTAAAACTTTTCCTCGAATTGTCTTGATTATTCGTGTTGCTGTTTTTAGTTGCAGCAGCAGCAGCAGGAGCTCCAGTTGTGTTCAATACCCTACTGGTCGGGCTTTTGCCTTTACTTGGTGCAGTCTGTGGAGGAGATTTACGCGGTTCTTCATCTATTTTCTTGGCATCGTCTGCCTCGCGTATGCACGTCCCACAAGTGGCACATTTAACGCTGTCAACCATAAAGAAGGCTTTGCTCTCTGTGACTGCAGCATGATTGGAGCTGTAAATGGTTTTGTTTTCTGGGACTGCGCTACTCGGACTCCCCTCAGATCCAACAGAACTGGTGGGATTGTGTTCGCATTTGATTTCGTCATCCATTTTAGTAGGAACCCAGAGGAGCAGCAGTAGCACATTCCCAGTGATGTGACAGATGTGTCAACAAATGAAAAGCCAACCCAAAAACCCTTTACAGAAAATATTGAATGTGTCTGGCCTATGACTGGGTTTATTTGTGGAATCTACCAGAGCATCACCAACAATGTGGACGACACCAGGGATGACTATAGTCGCATGAATAGCAGCTCCTGCCCACCGGACAGCAGCACGTGTTGCAGCTATACTCTAGGCAACGCGGCCTCGGATTCAGTACAAAGGGGGGATTGGCAAAGCGATCGTATCGAACAATTGGAACAGGCTTCCTCTTGCGTCGCTTCTTCTTGGCCTTGAAGTAGCACATACAGTCCGTATTGGGTATGAGATGCTGCAGCGTTCGCTCCAGATTGGTCATATCGCACTCGCACAGCAGCTCATTGTACATCTGACTGCCGCCTTGGCCATCCATGCAGCTGCAATGACCCTGGGGATTGCAATTACATTTGCGCCTCTCCCTGGCGTACTCGTCCTCATCCTCATCATCATCGTCATCTGCCTCGCAGTCGCAGCACACACAGGACTTGGCATTGCCATGGGTGATGCAAACTGGCACTGTGACATAGCGATAGGTCTTCTTGCCGGGTATGATCACCTCCTCCTTTTGGTGGGAGCAGGTCGTTTCCTTGCTGAACGGTAGACTTGGAATCTCGGCAGGCGTTGACATGGCCATGGACTCTGCCGTTGACTCGTCTACATATTTTGTTCCGCGTCTATAATCACTTCGCGTACCGCTGGATTCATTTCGCATACTGCTGGGTTCATTTCGCATACCGCTGGGTATATTTTGCGGATCACTGCGTTCATTTTCCTGCTTAATTTCAAGCAGATTTCCGGCACTTTCCGCCTGGACGACTTCCCCGCAGTGACAGTTCCTGTGACGTGGTGGATTACTTTGCATATATCTCTCGTCGTCACTTACACACATACATTGTTTCTTGTTCTGGTTCTCTGCATTGCCGGCCTTTCCTCTGCTTCTACCATCTGCCGGTTCGCAGTGACACTTGGATCGATCTTTATTGGTTCCTTCCTCTTCGCCTTCATTTGACCGTTGAGGAGCGCCATTACTTGTTCCTCTTTTAGGAGGAAAACTTTGGACATTAGTTCTCCTTTGAATCAATTAAGATCTTACCCTTGAGGAGGAGATCCCCCACGCCTGCAAGGAAGGTGAATTGAGAGAGATTGAAGATGCTTTAATTATTTTTCAGCTGTTGGTATTCCAACACACTTACCAGCCTTGTGATGATGGAGGTTGTCGATAAGGGCCTTCGCTTTGGAATGACTCTCTGGCATCCCGCGGGTCCCCTCTATGGTTTGTAGAAATTAAATAATGGTTGACAGATTTTGATTTCAATCCAGGAATACTTACCTCCGCTGTGGATACGGACGAGCGTCGCTGTAAAAGGTCAAGTTTAAGATATTTAAATCTCAGGCAGATGAACAAACGGGATAGAGTTTACTCTTAAATAGCCACTGCAAAACTCTAGATATCTTACTTGCGACGACGATCCTGGGTATAATTTGGACCAGGTCCATATCCAGGATACTGGCCATAGTTTGGACCAGGCTCATAGCCAGGCCCTTCTCTTCCAGGGCCATATACCGGTCCCAGACGTCTAGGGCCAAATCCAGGGGGTCCTCGTGCAGCTCCGTATCCAGGTGGTCCTCGTGCAGCTCCGTATCCAGGTGGTCCTCGTGCAGCTCCGTATCCAGGTGGTCGACGTGCAGGTCCAAATTGTCTTCGTTCAGGTCCCGGCGGTGAATTATAGTAACTGCGGGAGTGGAGCTCAATATTATTTCACGATTGTTTAAGGGTATCTGTCGTCACATACTTGGGGGGTCCCCTCGGTGGACCTGCGCCGTAACCGGCTCCTGGTGGTAGATAGAGCTGTTGTTCCGGCGGTTTGCTAACCGGTAGAAATACCAAGTGGTTTATGTTATGGCGGAGGCTGCATCCAAATGGCAATACTCACTTGACCACAATCAACAGAATGGTGGGCTGCTGTGGCTGTTGCTGCGTTTGGGCACCAGCTGCCTCCTCAATTACCGACGCATTCGCCGACACAGTTGACGATTTATTACGGAGATCATATTGGTGGTCAGCCTC